CTGGCTGAGGGCCGATCCCAGTCCCTTGAATTTCTCCTTCCTCTCCTCCCCCTTTCCACACATCTCAATGCGAGCCATGTTCGAAAGGGAAGGAGGTAAGGGCTCCTGGGTGGCAGAGTCGCTTAAGCACTCTTGATTTCAGCTCAGGTCATGATCTCACTGTTGGTGAGATCAAGCCCCTCTGTGCTGACGGTGCGGAAACTGCTTGGGGTTCTCTCTCTCCCCCCCTCTCTCTGCCCCTTCCTTGGTTTTGCACACACACATTCACAGGCTCTCTCTCTCTCTCTCTCTCTCTCTCTCAGAATAAATAAATAAAACACTTTTTTAAAGGGGAGGAGGTCAAAATGACCAAGATCATGAAAAAAAACAAGGAAAGCCTGAGAAACTGTCACAGACCCAAGATGACCAGGGAAACGTGACAGCTAAATGTAATGTGGTACCCTGGAATTCTGGACCACACAAAGGACTTTAGTGGGGAAACTGATGAAGCCCAGATAATGGCTGGAGTGTGTGGATGCACCAGCCAGGTCCTAATAGGTTTCCCACCTTCCTTCCTGCCATCCTGTCATCCATTCTCATACTGCTTCCAGAATCATCTTTCTAAGGCACAAATCTGACTACGTCTCTCTACTGCTTATAACCTTTACAGTGAGGTTCCCCCTCACCTTCAGGGTGAAGACCATACCCCTCAAGGTCTGTCTCCAGCTCCTTCTCCAGCGTCTTCTTCCACTTCCCAACCTCCCTGACTCCCCTCCAGCTTTACTGCACTGATTCTGTTCACAGAAAATGCCAGATCCCCTCCACCCTCTCAAATCTGCTCGACACATGCCCTGTCAATTTCATACCCCCTAGCCTACAATTGGAATTCAATAGATCTCTGTCTCTCTCTCAGTTTAGATGTCACTTCCTCCAGGAAGTCCTCCCTGATGCCCTGAATCCTATGCTGGGTTAAATGCCTTCCCCTGATTTCCCATAATACCCTGTAATTAGCCCCCACAGAGCTTCCCATCCTAGATCATAGTCATATTTTCCCCTTTGCTCTTAGGAAACCGAACCCCCACTTCCCTGATGTAGGAAGTATGTGCCAGGCATGTCTCTGTCTAGCACGGACTGTTATTTTGAGGATTTCAGTCCTTTGTGCTGCTTTCTCCATTTCTTTGCTCAAAGAAGACCATGTTAGTCTGTCTGCAACACTCCCTGCCACTTGTTAATCTTTTTATTGTCAAATAATGCCAGGTCCAACCTCAGCTCAGCTTGCGGTGGGCAACACGACTGAGCTTGGATGTAGTGCATTGTTTTGTTTTCACTGTATCTGCTTTTATTTATGAAATTCTACTTTTGAAAAGCAAACTTGTATTTTCCTTCTACAGAGACCAGTCATCCTTCATAAAACTAATTTCTTTGACTAAAGAAAGCAAATCAACTTATAAAAATTTTGATAGGAACTGAGGACTGATGGATGTGGGGGGGAGGGGGGATGGGCATGGAGGAGGGCACCAGTGGGGATGAGCACTGGGTGTTATGTGGAAACTAATTAGACAATAAACTATTTGTAAAAAAAAAAATTTTTTTTAATTTTTGATAGGGACACCTGGGTGGCTCAGTCAATTGAGCGCCCAATTTCGGCTCAGGTTATGATCTCGCAGTTCGTGAGTTTGAGCCCTGCATCGGACTCTGTGCGGACAGCTCAGAGCCTGGAACCTGCTTCAGATTCTAGCTCCTTCTCTCTCTGCCTCTCCCCAGCTCACACTCAGTCTTTCTCTTTCTCTCTCTCTGTCTCTCAAAAATAAATAAACATTTTAAAAAAATTTAAGTTTGATAAATGGTTGTTCAAGTGGTACAACTGCATAGTGAAACTGCATAGGTACACACACACACACGCATCCCTGCATGAAGGTCGCCTTGAGTGAGAGAAGCCCTGTCATTAGTGCTGCTAAGTCCTTGGGTCACGGGATCAAGGGCCCTGCTGTCTTTGTCACTAACATCCTGTGTAACTGGGAGAAAATTACTTTTCTATTTCTCAGTTTACTCATCTGTAAAAAGAAGAGAATAAAATGGGGTCATAAAAATATATGATTTCAACTCCCAGGTACAAATCTCTTCTGCTCATACAGTATGGAAACAATATCGCTGAGAAGGAACCCAGAGGTGATCATTCTTTTTATAGTACAGATGAGAGATCTGATGGGTATGGAGTTTGAATGGCTTGCCCAAGATCACAATGCAATTTAATGTCAAGTCCAAGACCAAAATACATGTCTCCCCACTTCCTGGTGATCTGTTTCTCCCCCTAATTCTGATACTTTCCACTCCTGTATACTCCCTTCCACAGGGAAACTTCTGTCAAAAGAGTTACGTGTTATTTACAAAGCACAGACAAACACACGCGCACATACACACGTACTTGCGCACAGAGACACAACATGAAAACACCTTAAAATACCAGAGAAGTGAATAAGAAAAAGATCAAAGCAGGAATGGATTTCAGAGTATTAACACTGATGGGTAGGAAAGAAATGTACCTGAAAGCTGAGAAAACATGTTACGGGGTTTTCCACAAGGTTGTAATTCTCTTTTGTTCTTTATTCAGTTAGATACAAGCAGCCAGGACGGGGTGGGAGGTGCAGTGGGGGCTGGAAGGGGGGAGGTCTCACAAATTTTAGGGGAGGATTAGGATAAAGACGGTAACTAATCCATTCATCTCTGGCTACTACGTATGTACAACAGAAGCTGATTAAATGCAGACCAGCTCTAATCACCACTTCACGCTCTGTGGATTGTAATGGGGGGGAAAAGCATCGACATGATTCCAAGGAGATCAGTTAACCAGATTGTTTAAAAGGGATTCTTCATCACTTATAAAAACCATTTTATTTAGCAGACCAATCTCATATAGGATACAGTCATTGCAATGATACAGTGCAACGCTTTTCTCATTTATAAAATAATCCGACTCCTCATCTTTGAAAATATGTTGAACATTTTTATAACCGATCTGGTTAGTGGCAGATTTGCCAGGGATACAGATGAACCAAAGTGCATAGAATCAGATCATTTTAACCAAAACTCCCAATGAAATAGAAAATGGGTAGGTATGATGCCCTTCACTTAAAAATAAATAAATGGTAGATATAGATATGAATAGAGATAGACAGAGATAGGGATGACAGAGACAGATTTGCAGCAATTTAAAAAGATCTGGAAAAATAGTAGCTAATGTGGCAAGAGGTCTCAATCTCAAGCTCAATGTGAGCCAGTGGTTAAGAGGCAGGTGCTGGGGAGAAGAAAAAGCTTAATGCAACATTCAAATACAACGCTAAATGACATTAAGCACAGTGATGGCCCTCTGCGCTCTCCCCACAAGCCAGTGCCAAGCTTGGTGCATTGTGGGAAGCACACTTTCACAGGAGCTGAAATGGGCATCTGGCCAGAGGACAGTAATAGGTCAGTGGGAAAAGGGAGAGGGGCTGTAACCTGAGACAAATGGGGAATGGTTTGTGGTATGGGTTCCAGGGCCAGGCAAGCTTTCTTCAAAATAAGATGCGTAACTGTCCTGGAGCACATATGCCCCGGTCCGTCTCGCCCCGGTCCGTCTCCCGGGAGTGTTGTTGAAAGGGCCCTCCCTGGGAGGTTAGACCCATCGGCAACACTCCTCTCTGCTCGGGGATTTTACGGTGTGCCGTGGTAACAGAACCACATCTATTTTACACAGTAGTGGATTAGCTCACTTCGTTTCCTTCCTGGAGAATAATATTCTAGAACAGAGTGCATTTAGGCCACCAACTGAGCTCCTAAAAGAAAATAAGATGTACTGATGTGTAGAAGATCTTGGTGACTAAAAGTCGAAATGTTGACTCGACTCATTCCCAGACCACTACACTACCAACCATCTGGTCAGCCCAAGAGGCTAGAAGTTAAGGACAGAGGGTGTGACAGTAAAATCTAATGGACATCAGATGGCAAGCCCTATGGCTAGGTCTTCTTGAAGGTCCCCACATTTCAGAACAAGAGTGAACCTCCTGCATCAGATCACCTGAATTGCCCAGCAAGAAAATGCAGGTACAAGGGTCGTCCCCCAGACCTCCTGAATTAGGATTACTGGAGTAGGGCTCAGAAAGTTCATTTTCAGCAAGTTCCCCCTGTGAATTTTTTGCACATTATCTGAGAACCATGGTTTCAGAGGAGTGCTTATCATGCTTTCATGTACAGTAGAATCACGTGGAGAGCAAAGCAAAAATTAGGACTCAGGGGCTCCAGAGATTCGGATTCAGAGGTCTTAGGTGGGCCCCAGAGTGTGCATTTCAATCTCCCAGGTGAGGCTGATGCTGCTGGTCCAGTCAGTGGACCAAACCTGGAGTTCACTGCCTTAGGGAATCGTTATCAAGGAACTCAGGTACTGCGAAGGGCAGCTTCTGGAAGGCCCCCAATGATTCCTTGCCTCCTTGGTGTATCCTTCCCTTTTTGTGTGGGCTCGACCTAGCGACTCCCTTATAACGAATAGACTAGGCAAAACTAATTGGATGTCACTTCCGAGATGAGGTTACGAGAATACTCCCTTCTCTCACTTGGTTCTCACGCCCTGTCTTGCTCTCTGACGAAGCAGGCTGCCATGTTGTGAGGTGTCCTGTGGAGAGGTCGCATGGGAAGGAACTGGGGACAGCCTCTGGCCAATGGCAAGCAAAGAACTGACTCCTGCCAATAGCAGTGTGCGTGGGTTTGGACACGGAGCCCTCCCCTCACTAAAGTTTGAGAAGACGGCAGCGATGCTTTCGTTGTAGCCTTGGGAGCCACCAGCTAAGCCACACTTCGGTCCTGTCTTCCTATAGAAACTGTAGGATGATGGATGTTTCAAGTCACCATATGTGCTTTATGCAGTGACAGATGACTAATAGATGCTTTGTCAAGGAGCTACCCTGAAATCTATATGGCACTTCGGTATTTAACCCATCCTTCAAGTCCCCCACCTCATCTCTCCCTATTATAAAGGAGACAAATGTGTATAAATGTAGAAGAGCAATATTTAATAATATACACTATTTCCATGTAACTTATGCCAGAGTTTTCTTCATGTTCAATGTTTAAGCCTTGGCCTTCGGGGAGCCTCCAGGAGTTTCCAGGCGGTTACGGAGGAGCAGAGCCTCAGGTAGAAGGGAGAGGTGAATCCGCATCAGACCCCACGCCCTGTGTGTTGAGCTGGACTTTGTGGGGCTTTCTCTTGAGCTAAGGGCATGGTGAATTCCCACCTGCCAATCCCCATAAGCAGGAGTGATGCCCCCTTTGGCTGACAAAAGAAAGAAGCTCCCGGTTTCTCTGCTGGCACGGGGAGAAGGTCTTTCCCTGAGAAAAGTCACTGAAGGGAACAAAGTTCGATCTGCTTGCCTTCTCTCCAGAGCAGTGCCCGATTTCCCCACCGTGGGAAGGGGAGAGGTTCCCCGCTAAGGGCAAGGTTTCTCCTTTTCTCTAGAACGGAGTGTTGAGAAAGTGCATTTCAGAGGCTGCGTGTAGGGAAGGGCCAGACTACTGGAAAGGCTCTAGACACAAAGCCAGACCCCCAGTCCCTGCTCTGTCATCCGCTCCTTGTGTGGCCCACCTGGGATGAGCCCCGCCCTTTGGACAGTGCTCATTGTAAGATGGGGGGCTGGGCCAGGTGATGACGGAGACCCTCCAGATCAGTGTCCAGGAGCCCAGGGCAGGGAGGCAGCTTCTGGCCACGGCCACTGGTCCGATGTAGGACAGCTGTCCTCAGAGTGCCAGGCCCCCACTGCTCAGCCAGCGCGCCCTCTCTGAGGAGCGCCCCGATGGGCTGCTGTGCCACAGGGCGCTCCGGCAGACGTTGTCCAACCTGCTCTTGATGGCATCCTGCAGCTCCTGGTCACCCAGCAGGACCGCCGCTGCCAGGGCCAGCCAGAAGTACTCGGTGGCATCGTGGGCGTCCTAACCCCATGGCGTGGGGGCGGAGAAGAGACAGCAGTAAGCAGACATCTCCAGGGGAGGCCAAGAGGCAGTGCCGGGAACTCAGAACTCAGCTTTTTTCTACCTGACATACTTTCCCAGCCCCTTCTCCTGGTTCCTGGGGGAGCTCCTCCCCCACTCCGCTGTGGACCAATGCCGTGGCCAACTCCAGCGGCCCTCTACCCCAGGCATGCCAATCGTGAAGCAACATCGTCCTGGGCACAGTGCTTCAGGGATTCCTAAGTGACTCAAGCTGACCTACCCCAGTCACTCCCTGGGACCTCTCAGTGTGACCTAACAGAGAAAATGCTCCCTCACCCTTTTAGACGTGGGTTTAAGCCTGCCAACAGCTGGACGGGGAGGACGCCAAGAAACAGAGAGAAGTAGAAACATACTGAGCTAAGAGGTACAGGAAAAGATGAGGAAATCCACAATGACATCTGAGCACCAGCCTCCAGAACTACCTAAAACTCCTAAATCTATACTTGAACTTCCCAGTCACTTGCACCAATAAATTGCCTTTTTTGCTGAAGCTAATTTGAGTTGAGTTCTTCCCCCTTACAATCCCTAGAAGTCCTGGTTGAGTCAATCAGGTCATATGCACTTTGTCCCTGAACCACTTCCGGGGAGCTAGGAGACAGAGGCAAGATGGCTGGGGTTGGGGGGGAGGGAGGGGGGTCCTTCACCACCCCGCTGTCCCTCCCAGTATGGACGAATAAAGAACAGATGCTTCTTTGGGTGAGATTCAACAAGGCACGTCTGGTTCCCATTAGCCTTCATAAGTCAAAAATTAATTCAGGACAGAAACAACTTCTGGCAAATAAGAAAAGGACAGCAGAGTTGTCCTGAGGATCCCCTGGGGGCCAAACACAGGCGTGACTCAGAACAATATTAAGAGATTAAGGGTTGTGCGGGTGCAGACCAGGACCTCTGGTAAAGGGAAGCCAATGCTGGGGACAAAGTTCAAGAGCCAGAATTGTAACAGAGACTTTCAGACCACCAGTTACGGTTCTAGAAGTGGTTGGAAAAATAAGCTCTGGATTCAACTCCAGCAGGGCAAATAGGAGTCGGGGCTAAGGGCTTGTGAAGACAGAGGCAAGCCTCCATTCATAGGCCGCACCTCACTATCTCAGACATGTCAGCACGTACCTAGATTTCTCCTAGGGTTTTACATAAGTTTATAAGAAATGTGTTGCAACTGACTAGTTAATCTGGGATATTCTGAAGACACGCAGTTAAACATTAATTTTCATTTTAGTGTTGGATCTTCTTTTGTTTTGTATGTTGTATATTTCCACAGACCCCTGAGCAACTCACACACACTAGGCCATGTCCCCGTAGTACCTTACAGCTAAAGTGACTACGGAAATCAGAGCAGAGCAAGGAGAGAGAGGAGCTATGGTCCCTCTCCTCAGCAGACAGGAGCACTTTTGAAGTCTCCCACGGGGCTAAGTGACAAAGAACCATCGTGTCCCCAGACGAGTCACCCCCCACCCTATGAGATATGACTCTCCATCTTAGCCCACTCAACTGTATCCCAAAGGCTAAGGGTCAGGGAAGAATGGGGTCAGATGGTAGCTGCCATCCACCTTGTAAGCCAGCCAGCACGGCTCCTACCTTCAGCTGGTAGAAGGTGAGTCGGCCCAGGCGATAATACACCTTCGCATAGTACAGGGCCTCCTTGGGACTCTGCAGCCAGGGTTGGCAGAGGGACAAAGTCTTCAGGTAGCAGTCTTCAGCCATCTCATACATGCTCAGGGAATAGTACACCGTAGCCAGGCGGTGAAAGGCCACCAGCTCCTGCCTCTGATCTCCTAGGAATTAGAAGACTGAGAGAGAGACCGTGCAGCCAACACTTGACGACATCTGTCTACTCAGCCATTCTGTGCTATTTTTTGAAGGTCTTCTAGGGATCGGGGGCGGTGCTTGGGATGCATGGAACAGAGCAGAAGAAGTCCCTGCCCTTGTGAGGTTTACCATCTCATAGGACACAGATGCCCCTTAAATGATCTCACAAAGGTAAAATACACCTGCTGTAAGTGATAGGAAAGGGAACACGGGGCTCTGGGAGGGACTGATTACAGCCTGTGTGCCTGTCACGGTTTTCTGGGACCATTTCCTGAAGAACACTTTCTCTTGACTACAGATGTCACTGTAACTCAAGAATCTGGGAAACTATTATTTACAAATCCTTGTAATGAGACATGGTGGCAAGTCTAGCTTGACGCGGTAGCTGAGGATTCTTTGTAACGAATACCTCTATAGTACAAACATCTCCACATGAAAGTCTCCGGCTTCAGAGAGCTCCCGGGGGCTGCCACTGGCAGCAGTCACCCTCTGGCTCCTTGGCCACCAGCTCCAGGTCCAGATGACTACAAAGCCCTTTTAACCCATGCTTTAGAACCTCGGTTTCTAATGGGTCTATGATTTGTTGTTTGGGATTTTGGTGAGTCTGTTGTTTTAATAACCAACTCCTTTAATACAAAGTGGCCTTTTAAAGAGAACAAAGGTGTCCCATGGTGTTTTTGGAATATTTGCAAGGTGACCGTTTGATGCGATCTAAAAAACACTACTTTTTCGGCTTCAAAGCGCCAAAAGCCAAAAATAAAAGAAAAAATCCGAGGGAGAGAAAATTCTCTGATATGGAAAAATCCAGTCACGCGGAAGGGCATAAAAGGGTGGATATAGCCTGCTTTCAGCTTCTGCCCAGGGAAGGATAAAGAGCTCTCAGAGAGAGAGCTGCTTGGGTCCCCCAAGGCCTTGCCCTAGATAGCAGTCCCTCAGATAAGATTTTCTGCAGTAACGAAACAGGTAGGCAAAGGAGACAGAGCTCTCATGTGCAATTAAGACACAATAAAGTCCAGTGCCATCCACATCTCAGGCCCTTGAGAATGCCCAGAAGTCCCCCCTAGCATCCTCACTGAAGACTCCATTTGCCCCTACATCTAATCAACCCTTCTCTAATCAAACCTGCTTTTCTTCAAGACCAGCATTCAAGATGAGGGGGCTTTTTTTTTTTAATCTTTTTTTTTTTTTAATTCGGTCTTTCTTCTGTTTTAATGGCTTACATTGTTTCCCACTAGCTTCTGTGATCATTGCAAACTTTTCAGCTCCTTGGGGAATCTGACCTTCATTAACATTTCAATTCCACAGGGAAAATGTGCTTTTGACTAACAACCAACCAATGAAAATTTTAGGGCAGAGGACCTTGCTAACAGGGGCGCTGCCTGTGCAGAGGATATAATACCGTTCGTTCACCCCTGTACTGTGGAATAATGCCAGTGGTAATGTGATAATCAGTGCGACACAGGTAACATTTATCAAGGACTTAAGGTACCAAGCGCTGAAACACTGTGCTGTGGCTTCTACATGGATAATCATGGGTTTTCATAACAACTGCATGAGGTGGGTGCTATTTTTAGTCCTTATTTCCCCACGACACACTTGAGTTGTATAGACATTAAGCGGCTTGCTTACAAGTAAGATCTCCCGACAGTGGGGATCCGGGATTTGAACCCACGCAGTCTGACTCCAGAGCCTTTGCTGTCACTGCTTGGTTGTCTCCCACCCCCAACATTGGTTCAGCTTTTAGCCCACCCATTCAACATGCCAGACCATCAGGGATCTCTTACCTATGACTGTGCTGAGTCTGGCCGCCAGAGTGGCAAACTCCAAAGCCTTCTCGTAGCCTTCCAGGCTGATCTGCAGCTCCGTCAGCTTGTTGAAAACCCGGAGCTCTGTCCTCACGGCCTTCATCCTCCTCGCTAAGGGAACAGCCCCAGCCTGAGAACAGAGGCACATGGAGCCCTGGTCTAGCTAAGAATCAAAGGTACAGACCACATTCTAGGAGCTTCCGTTCTGTTGTTAGGGGTTGGGGTGCCTGCCATGCATGGCTTTCCACAGCTCACTCTCCTGGTCCTTGTTCTTGGTCGTTCTGCTCAGACTTTAAAGATAGAAGGACTAAAAAGGCCATCAGGCCTCCTGAGACTAGAAACACTGAGATGACATGTCTCAGGGCCACATGGGAACTCAGTCACCTCCCAGCTCACATGCTCCCTTAGCACCTACAGCGATCTGCAGAATACGCACACGGTGTCTGAGAGCACCCAATAAATGGTCGTTTCTATTGTTTTTATGACGATAGAATTTTAGGCAGGTGACTTCATCTCTCTAGACTTGATTTTCTCATCTATAAAGTGCATGTGACAACGAGCAACTCAACGGTCAGGGACATCCTTTACGCTGTCCTCACCCCCAGCACAGTGCCTAGCATGTACTGGGTGCTCAATAAATGTTTGACGACTGAAGAAAGAGCTGAGCAGGCAAATGAATGAATAAATGAAATGTTGGGGTCCAATAAGGTAATGAGGTTTCCAAACTTCAGTCAGTGATGAACAACAATTAGGATTTCGACATATCTGCTTCGCATCTTTACTTCGCATGACTACTTAACTGCTATTGTATTTTTAATCAACTCTCTGCCTCCTCCTTTGCAATAATGAAATCATGGGTTTGATGAGCTGGTGTTACCCACTTTTGATTGTTAAAATATATTTTAATGCACACTTAATAAACACGAGTGTTCATCCCTGGACCTATCATCTCCCACCATGCCACCACTGGTACCCGGGAACATTCTGGTAAATACAGAAGTGTGCTAGAAATTGTAAAGTACCACTCACCCAAGAGATGCAATTATTTTGGTGTGTTTTCCCAGAAAAGACAATTTATCAAGTCTAGGAAGGACAGAGTTTATCAACTCTTTCTTTGAGAGCTTGTTGATGGAAGAAAGGAAGACTACGTGGGCACTGGATGGGAACGAAAGGAAAAGGAATACCAGAAAGAGAGGGGAAGGGGCCCAGGGCTTGTGTTCCTGGGCATGTTGGTGCCAGCGCCTGGCTGGGCGGACTGGACTTACCCGGTAATACTCCACCGCGCGGTGCCTGTGTCGGGTCCCATTGAAGAAGACGTCCCCTGCTTCTTCATAGAGTTTGAGAGCCAGGGAGGGCTCCTCGGACTTCAGGGCTTTCTGGATAGCTGCCTGTATGGGACAGAGACAGCTGCCAATGGCAGAAAGGACTTCCAAATGTCCACAGGACTAGCGGGTGAGATCCTGACCACCAGGTTCGACCCTAGCTCACATCCCCCGAACGTTGAACTGTCCTCTGCACTCACGGGGCTGGTAAGAAGCCTTTGAGAGTCCCTCGTCTGGCATTTCCCCACCATGGTATCAGAGATTACTTTTGGGGGCCCCAGCAATGATTTTTAGCAGTACACAGACAAGCATTTTATGTATTAATAGTTAAGTATTTATTTTAATATGTATTAGAAAAAAAGATGAATAATACATCCAAATCTGTGATTTCAGATAGTGTTATTTAGTGTAAAAAGCTCTAATTGATCAACTCTAGTTGATTTGAAGTTGAGTCAATGAAAATAACAATGGAACAGAAAATCCATAAACGTGGCCAAATCATTAACTTCATACATAAATGACTGGAGTTTGGAAAAGCGTGATCTCATCCAACACCTACACTTTGCACATGGAGAAACCGAGGCTCAGAAAGAAGGAAAACCCTCTACATTTACATAATAGTTAGTGGCAAAGAAATGCTAGTGTCTTCCAGCCCAATACCCTTCCCCAGCACCCACGACCTCTTTATCTCTAGCAAGCTATTCCATATTGCATGTAAACGAAATACAGTGAGGCAGTTGAAGGCAGGAATGTGCCACAGCATCTGCAGCAAAGCAACGAGACCTCAAAGGGCCTGGGGTTGAGAACGACCCTGCAGAAAATCAGGTAGCAGTCTGGGGGTGCGTGGGCCTGGACCAGGTCTGGCCAATAGGTCTCTGGGGAAGAGCCCATAGTAATTGTTATTGCCTCACTGCACAGAGAAACCGATGGGGAGATGGAATTCTGGAATCAGGAGGCTCTGCCGGCAGAGCAAATGCACAACCCAGACAGCTCCCTCTGGGCCTCGTCTCCTGGAGAGTGAAAGGCAAGACGGAACCATCTGCTCTCTGAAAACCCTTCTGACTCTAAAATCCCACGGCAGAATAGCATAGAGGCTGAAAGTGAAGGCTTTATGTCACATGGTCTGTGGGTGGTTTACACAGCTTACCAGCCATATCACCTTGGGCAGGTTACTCAGCCTCATTGAGCCACATCTGTAAAATGGGAATTTGAGCAGAAACTCCTGCTGCATTCGGAATGAGGGTTACACTACAGCAGGCATGTGAAGGGTCTGCATAGTGAGCATGCACTCGGTCTTACATAACCATTATTAAGTCTCCGTAGAAGTAAGTTTGTTGCGTTTCAGTGATAAGAGGAATAAAAAGGGAGAAATAAGAAAAGGGAAGGAAGAAAAGCTAACTGACATATTTTCAGTGGGACAAATCATATACGCCATCATGTCAGCATTGTGCAGAGAATAGCAATGATGATGACAATAATAATAAAATACCATTTATTAGGAATTCACAAAGTCCAGAGTCTTTAGTAAATGCTTGCTTTGTAGAGGCATTTACTATGCAAGTGACACACCTAATCCTCACCCTTCGAGATAAGAGTTTACCCATGAAGACACTGAGGCTCTATGATGTGGCCGATGTAGCAAGGCCAGGGTCACGTAGTCTGTAATTGATGGCTCTGCAACTGGCTTCCAGGCCTGTCTCTCTCCAAAGCCCAGGCCTTTCATCACTGCACTATACCGCATCTCAGGTATTAAAGGGATGCAAACAAAAAGATTGGAAGAGGACCCTGCACACATCAGCCTTGCCTCATATTGGAGCAAAACCCCAAAGTCAAGGTCTGTGTTGCGATTTGCAGAGCTAGATCTCCTTGACGTGACTGACAAGTGAGTCTCCTCCCACATTCTTTGAGGGCTCACACGTGTCTATGGGACTCAGGGACTGGCCATCTGTCACCAGACCACCCTGGGCCCTATCTTGTGTCCAGGGAACATCCCAGTGTTAACCCTCCCTCCAAGGGCTCAGCGTGGACATCACCTCTCTCCAGCTGGTCACTCTGGAGGGTACAGCTGTCTCCCCAGATGGCCCGAGGTGGCAGGTGGGTTCTGCAAAAGGCCTACCTGCAGGTACAGCTCTACCAGCTCATCTTCCTGCATGAGGTAGTGGAGTCGGCCGGCTCCGAGCCAGGCCTCGGCAGCCTTGTCTTTCTCCCCAAGGTCGATGAAGATACGCAGGCTCTCCTTGATGCAGGTGAGAGATCTCCTTAGAGACCTGGGTTTGGGGAAGAGCAGACATGGAACCATTAGGTGTGAGTCAAGGGCTCCCTCAAAGGGGCCTCGGAGTCACTCAGCGCAGGAGGAAACTGAGGCTCTGGGAGGGAGCACCATTGTCTCTGATCACGCAGAGAGGCCCAAGGCCTGGCTCGGGTCTCAAACATCTGTGTGACCTTGAGACAGTAGAGAAGCATTCTATGACTTAGTTTTCTCATCTGTAAAATGGGGGTGGCATCGTATCTGCCTTGGAGGACTGTTGAGAGGATTAAATGAGATGCTGAAGCTGGAATGCTCAGATGGTCAGATAGTGCACACCACAGAGTAACAGTGGTGAATATTTTTAAAAAAATTTTTTAACATTTATTCATTTTTGAGAGACAGAGAGAGACAGAGCATGAGCAGGAGAGGGGCAGAGAGAGAGGGAGACACAGAATCCAAAGCAGGCTCCAGGCTCTGGGCTGTCAGCACAGAGCCCGATGCGGGACTCGAACCCACGAACCGTGAGATCATGACCTGAACCGAAATTGGATGCTTAACAAACTGAGCCACCCAGGCCCCCAACAGTGGTGAATGTTCACATGTTCGTGTTCACTTTCATTATTATGGCCCATGGCCCAATTCCAGCTTTTGACTACACTATAACATTTTTTTTCCATAAGCCCCTAACACACGGTGGGTGCCAAACACATATTTATTAAACAAAAGCACAAATGAATGAGCACAGTGGTAACTTTACATCATCAAAAAGATTCTGATGTCTTGTTCAAGAAGAAAAATCAAAGAAGGGCCACAGTCTTAAACGGTTGGTGCCTGTTGGAGGACTCTAATGATCTGGAAAAGTATTACATAGAAAACTCTTCCCCGTGACAGGGACGCATAAAGAAATGAGGCACAGGTTCTATAGTGCGGCACAGATTCGGAATTCTAGAACAAGAAGGAACACGGGCCATCGTCTAGATGGTATTCCTAGCATTCCAGCAGCCATGATCACCCAGAAGCCACAGGCAAAGTGAATCCACAGGCATACGTCCACAGGCAAAGTGAATCCAACATGTTGACACACCATGCTAGCCTGGGATACTCTGGGAGCATTTATTCAAAGCTCGATAGTGACCTCACTGTGTAACCTGGGTTGAAACCTGCAGATCCAGCCCAATCCCTTATGTTATGGAGGAAATGGGCCAAGAGTGGGAAGTAATTTGCACAAGGTTGCACAACACATTGGGGGAAGGTCCAAGGCCAAAACTCCCTTCTCCGGAGTCCCAGCCCAGAACTCATTCCAAGCACCCACATTCCTCTGAGACTCGTGGCCCTCCTGCATTATCTGGGAGTTTATTAAACACACAGACTTCCAGAGCCACTTCAGACTCGTTAAGTCCAAATCATGGCAGGTGCACACTCCGAATCTGGATTCCTAATGCACCCAGGTGCCCTCTAATGCACCCTAATAACCCAGGGGTTATGTTCACACACATTAAAGTCTGAGGACAACTCCTCCAAACCATACAGATCCTTCTGGAAACACTGATCATCATCAACCAAGTGTATGAACAGTTAGGAAGTCCTCCTCAAACATGGTTACCATCTCATCTTTGTGCACAGTGATGGGAACAATCATTGCCTTTGACTAATGAGGCCCCGATCCATGTCTGCCATGAGGCAGTAGCTGGCCTTTTGGAGAAAGTGCCAGGCATTTCGCCCTTGGAACTCTTGAAAAGAAAGAACTCGGGTTTTCTCCCACTGCCCAGCTCTTTTTTAAAATGTTTTTACGTTTTTATTCATTTTTTGAGAGACAAACACAGAGCGCAAGCAGGGGAGGGGCAGAGAAAGGAAGAGACACAGAATCCGAAGCAGGCTCCAGGCTCGGAGCTTCAGCAGAGAGCCCGATGCGGGGCTTGAACTCACGAACCTTGAGATCATGATCTGCACCTACGTTGGCCACTTAACTGACTGAGCCACCCAGGCGCCCCTGCTCAGCTCTTGATAGGGCGTCCAGGATGGGCACAGGCCGCCCTCTCCCAAATATGAGAAGGTCAGACTCACTGTGAGCTGAGAAGCCGTACACAGCACTGAGCTAGCCACCAGCCTGCATGGCTGAGCTAGGATAAACAGGGGCCTCTTTTACTCGGGGGCGGGGGCCCCATCTTCTCTCACCCGCTCCGCACCCCCTGGGCCTCAAGCAGAGTTTCCAAGCCCTGCTCTCCCCACTCCCACGGATGAAGACAGGATTTCTACATTTCATCTTCCTATTTCCTCCTGTTTTTGTTTATTACTATTTGCTGTTCTGGGAGACCCTTCGGTGCTGGTTGTTTTCTCCAGACCCCCAGGTGGATGTGGGTTATTACCAAGAAGCCGATCACAGAGGAGGAGTGGAACTTTGTCTCTTAGACCTTTTCTCTCCGAGCTCACTGTGACTGTGGATGGGAGATCAGTATTTCTCTCCAAGAAACACCCCACGGGGAAAGGCAGGACTTACAGAAGCCTAACTGCTCACGGTACCAGCAAGACTCCCCCATGCACACAGGGTGTCCCAGAGATCACTGCCTCCCACCAAGATGTACACCTGATCCATGACGCCCTAAAGGTTCGAAAGTGGAAGGGGGTTTCCAGCCTCGCTGGTCCTGTCCTGTGACCCATCACCACCCCGTTTGTTTGCCTATCCCGGGGGCTGTGCCGCGTCACCCACCAGCTGAGCCACTGGCTTGGCCTGGAATGGCCCAGGGTCCCAGTTCCATCAGCTGCCACCTGCAGCTTCTAGGTGTGGCTTAGCTCCCAAACTAAAAGAAGAAAGGAGCCTGGCTGGTGGGACGCCTCCCTTGAGTCTGGATACCAAGTGTCACACTCTCCTGGGCCACCTACACCCGGGCTCTACCTGGGTATCTCTCTTCCTCTCCAACCCTGAGTCCTCTGTTTCCCACTTTTCCCACCCTCAAAGTTCATTCTCTACAGCTCCTCCCTTCCCACCTGGACATCAGCCATGAACTTGTGGTCAAGTGACTCGCATGCACCTGCATTCCCAGACTTCCTCTTTCCAGCCCCTGCTGGGGTTTTCCAGATCCCTGCCCTGCCTCAATGAGTGTCTGACCTCTGGCCCAGCCTCCACTCACCAGTCCTGCCCTGTTTCCATAATAAGACCTGCTACTCACCAAGGGCCGACCCACGCCAGGTGCTGGCATATGAATTTTCAGTATAAATTCTCTCATTTAAACCTCAGAAACACGAAGCCATGAGGGACCTTAGCCCATTGCGCAAATAAAGAAACCCAGCGGGAATTTGTTTTTTAAAGTGTCCAAGTTTGTTCATTTCTAAAGCTTTATGTCGAGCCCTCTGCTGTTGTGTCTTGTAATACATGACAGTAATTGTTCCCTGACATTTACTGAGCATGCAGCAGGCATTATCTCATTTAATCATCAAACCAACAGTACCCAAGTGGTACCGTATTATACCCACTTTACGAATGGGAAAAATAAGGCTCAGAAAGGGTAAGTGACCAGGCCTAGGTAACAGACGTTGTTTAAACCAGAGTCTAACCCTGTCAGTCTGGCTCCAGGACCCCACACACACCCTCAGGCAGCGCTCAGTCCTGGGCTCAGAAATCAGCACATGGGAAGGCCTCTGCTTCTTTTACTACTTTAACAACCAAGACCGTTTGAGGAACATAAGCGACTTCAAACCTCGAAAGCTTGAAATCTCCTCATCTGCTACAGCAGGGGTGGTGACGAACACCCCAGCCTTGTGATCACATGACACGTCAGTGAAAGAAGGTCCTCCCTTGCTCAGGGTTACAGAAGTGTTAGTGGTTGGTCATATTAGTTACAATAAAAAATGAATGTTGAAGCCTCTCTTCCTTCATTTCATAGGAATAAAAAACGTAAGAATAAAAATAAGGAATAATGACTTATAGGCTACTCTTCTATCCACATGCAAAGAATTATTTTGTGAAGACCAATTGCATCCAAGGCATATCTTCTTTCTAAAAATAACATGCACATCTTTGGTGGCCCTCACCACAATTTATATGATACCTTTGGCAAATACGTATATAAATATTGTCAATATCTTGAACTAGTCTATAAGCATCGTGAGCTCAGGGACTATATCTCTCTGCCAGGTTTTGGGGGCTATAATAAAAGCTCAGTAAATACTTGTTGAGTGGATTCAACAGAGCTTCAAAATTCCCATGGATCCCACCTGGTTCAGTACAAGGTATAGCCTGTATTGTGTCACCTGAGGACAGAAAACAAGACTCCCAAGGACCCTGCCCACTGAGAGATTGGAAACACCAGACCCTGTAGGGGTCACCCTGGAGGCAGAGATCGCAAGACTCAGATGGTCCTGGGTAAAGGGACAGCAAAGTACTCCAAGGCAAAAACCCAAAGGCTGGGTTGTAGCTTTCACTGTCTGTGTGCCCTCATCTACCATCCTCCACCTCTAAACCCTAGCGAAAATCTTCTAAATAGGAGGAATTGACATGAGTAGAAAGGTTGCATGGGATAGAGAAACCACCTTAAATGGAGGAGTCCGGGATCTGAGCTACTACTGGTGAAACCAAGTGGGTCAGCAGTCTGGACTCTGGTCCAGGCGGGGGGGTCAGACCAGATGAAAAATGAGGCCCTTCTCATCCATACAATTCCTGGAGCCTTCACACTACAGCCACCCACACTTACAGTTTATTTAGAGTGAAAACTGTTGACTAACAGGCAGAATACATACAGAGTGGCTAAGACTATGGACTTAGCCAATACACCATTCTGCTTTTGTAAACAAAATCTCAGTGGAACACAGCCGCACTCACGTAGGTAGTCTGTGGCAGTTTCCACACTGCGACCACAGTATAGTTGTGGCAGAGACCATCCCATGGCCACAAAACCTAAAACATTTCCTTTCTGACCTCTCACAAAAAGTTGGCTAACGCTTGTGCTAGACTCAACCTGGGTATCATCCCCTCCTGCGCAGCTCCACACAAATTACTTGGCTTCCTTCGTTCTCAGTTTCCACAGGTCTTGGCGGATATTTGTGTGGTCATCCTGAGATTGCACGTTCTTGGTAACACCGCCTGCTCACCACGAATGCCTTTAGTTACTATTCAGACCACCATTTTCAATATGGCCACTTGCTGCTCCAGTCCGGAGGCCCGCCGCTCCCCACCCCAGCCCACCTCCGCATCCCCTCCTAGGGGACAGGCTGAAGGCCTCTCTCTCCTTTACCACCCATATCCACTTGAACACCAAACTTCATCAAACCTACACAATGTCTTCCAAATGTGTCCCCCCTTTCCGCTGCTACTGCTATTCCCTCTGTCTCAAATCCTATTCTCTTACCCCGTCCACTTTTCCAAAATCTTACCTATCCCTTAAGACCTTCCTCACATAAAGGTCTTAAGATATCCATGAAGTCTTCTCTGACAGATCCCCAGCCCTCAGCTGAAAGTGTCCTTTTCTTTCCTTCCAAACCCTCCCCTGCAAATGCCCGCTATCTTGCCCAGGAACGCTTCCTGCCTTTGAGCGCCCTGAGCATGGAAATTCCATGGGGAGATTTTAGTTGGAGAAATCTGTCCGTACATCAAGATCTATTTAATAAGAGCCTCCTAGAAGTAAGTGCCAGAAAAACATTTGCTCCAACAGATGCATTTGTTTATTTTTTTTTATCAGACAGTGAGAACCTCCTGTGGCTTTCCCCTTTTTTACCTGTAACCAGGAAGCTGAGAGCTAAATTACAGTAACCACCTCCAAGTGCATGCAAATACCTGTTTATCTGTGTCTGTTAAGTGCTTTGTAGGAGTAGGTCATTTATACCTGCTAAATAAATATAGCTTTATAGCACACTCTCCTTGATGAATGGAGCTTTCTGCAAGGGGATAATGGCCTTATGTTTGCAGGGGTTTCCTCTGACACCTAGGGTACTTCCTAATCTTCTACTACTCACATTCATGGTAAATCGGAAGAAGGGGATTACACAAACCAGAATCTCAGAGATTAGAATTCTAGAATATGAGGACTAAAAGATCCTCTTCCAGATCAACTTCCAGAATGATGGACTAAGGACCGCCAAAACTCCACTCCCGAATAAAGGATATTCATGGGGGGTCCTGGAATGGTAGCAATGTCACTCTGGGCCACACCTCCTGTTCCCTCACGTGCTGCAAGGATCCAAAACTCCCTTCCTAGAACTGAAGGCAAAGATAACGTGAGGTTTGGAGGGACACCCGATTCTTTCGAGAGAGGAAAAGGGGGAGAGGGAGAGAGAGAGAGACAGAGGGATGGGACCAGAGAGAGACTGTTATCTGATTATTAGCGATCTGGTTGTCCCCGTGCCCAAAGTTGCCATGTTGCCTAGAAAAGCAACACTCGTCATTCAGTTAGCTTGTCCTCAGCCACCTCTCTCTGCTCAACACTAGCAATTATTCCTGCTGTATGTTAGATGTCATTCATAATTATGACTACAATGCCACAGTGCTAATCTGTTGCAGAAAGAAACCAGATCTCTCGCAAAGCATGCAGAATGTAATGGAATCAATTAAAGGCCTGCTGGAGGGCGGAACAGCAGGCCCCACTGCCTGCGAAGGAGGAGTAAGGGGATTGGACCCAGCGTGGAGATGAGAGAAGAGAAGACCAGCGGGAGATGGCGGGAGACTTGACGGGAGAATACGTAAAGATCAAAGGGGTTAAAAGAAGCGTTGGGGCAAAAACAGGTAAGGTTTGGTACATTTTTGCAAAGAGGAGCCTTTTGAAGAGAGGCCTGAAAAGTTAATTACGAAACAAAGGGTCTTCCATCGTGCTGTGGCCGTTTCGTTCACACAATCGGGCTAACAGCAGTTTCTGCGCTGCTTATGCTATGACTTATCGCACGGTTACAATTCTAACCTACGGTTCTTAACCAGAAGGTGAAAAGAAGCTTAGGTCCATCCTTTCCAGGTTCATTTTAAAGGTAACGTTGCAAATCAAACATTTTACTGTCACATTTTACCCACCCCCACCTCCCTGCCAGTGGACTGATTTACTTTGTGTCTTTTTTCTAATACCCATTGAACACAGGTAACCAAGACCTCGTGAGGGGTCCAGTCCTGTATCACAGCCACCTGTAAACTAGGCCCCCTCAGCCAGGGGCATGTGATGGTTGTTACAGAAGCACACAAGGAACTGTGACCTAACTAGCATCATGGATCCCTTTCGACATATCAGACACTGTCCCAAAGTTTCCACGTGTATTGACGCATTCATTCCTCACATTAATGCTATAGGGCAGGGGCGCCTGGGGGGCTCAGCTGGTTAAGTGTCAGACTCTTGACTTGGCTCAGGTCATGATCTCACAGTCATGGGATCAAGCCCCAGTCCGGGCTCTGTGCTGAGTGTGGAGCCTGCTTGGGATTCTCTCTCTCTCTCTCTCTCTCTCTCTCTCTGCCCTTCCCCTGTTCTCGCTCTCAAAATAAATAAATAAACATTAAAAAAAAAATTCCTATAGGGTAGATGCCACCATTCTCATCTTTGTTGAGGAGGCTGCTCAAAGAACTTGCTCAAAGTCACACAGCTCATAAGCGATAGAGGACACTGTGGTGGCCACAGAGCCCACACTCTTTCCTGTGATGTCACAAGCATACCACATGCAGGTGAACTTTATGTCCCAAGGAAAAGAATGGTGCTTCTCTCCAAGGAAGATAAGCTGTGTCTAGGACTGTCCCCGAGCCCAGACCCACCTGGCCGTGTTCAGGTTCCGATAGAGCTGCCCGAGGGACTCCAACAGCCTCCCCTCCATCTCTCGGTCCCTGAGCTGCTGAGCTAGGGCCAGCCAGTGCTCATGGTAGGTGATGCACGCCTCGGGGTTTGGGGATACGGAGCTGTAGAAATGGCAGAGGGATTTGGTGACCTGAAGCTGACCTGAACATAAAGCAGGGACACGAATGAGATCACTTGAGAGAGGACGAGGGCGAAACGTGCTCTAACACTCTGCTCCCCAGCAACCAGCAGCACGGGTCATACTCACTCTTTAGGTGCCGATGCCTTAAGCCTAACAGCAATGCCATTTCATAACAAAGGCGGCCGCTGGCCAGCTGGCATCCAGACACCAGGGCTTGGGCCAGCCAGAGAAGCACCTGCACTAATTCCATGTCGGTCTCCACACTGGTCCGGAGTTCCGAATAGAGCCGGACGGCCCGCAGGAGATAGTCCTTGGCCGGCTGTTGAGCCCGGGACTTAAGGGTCAGGTGGCCGAGATTGGCCAAAGTCACCGCCTGGTTACGCACGTTCCCTGCTTCCTGAGCTCTGCTCAGAGCGTGGAGGTAGCTCTTGGCTGCCCTGTTCACCCGGCCTTCACCTTGAAGTGCGAGTCCCAGGAGGTTATGGACCACCCCCTTTCGGGTGATACTCTTTGTCTCCTTCTGGGAGTGTAGGAGTGGCTCAAGGACGTCGAGAGCCATCTTCGCCTGGCTGGCTATGAGGTAAGCCCATGCCAGGCACAGGGAAGACTCGAAGGCTTCCTGCTCGCCCAGCAGCCGCCCCAGCACCACGGCCTGGCTCAGGTAGCGGATGGCGCCATCGGGAGCCCTGTGTTGGAGGTACACCTTGGACAGGATGAGACACAGGGCCCTCTGGGTGCTCCGGCTGGCCTGCTCTTCACAAGCAGCCAGCGCCTGCCTGAGTGCTGGGCAGGCCAGGGCCGAGACTTCACCCCAGCCGAACGAGGGGACCCCGAGGAGCTTGGTGGTGTTCCGAAGAACCAGGGAGACCTGCCAAATTGGGAGCGACATCCCTTGGGTGCTCTGGGCGCCACGCTGCTGGACAGAGGCCACGGCAAGGTGCGGAAGGTACTTCTTATCATACAAAAACGCCAAGATGGTGGCCACAGCATCCAAGTCAGGAGGGTGTCCGGAGAGGAGCTGCAGACGCTCGGCAAAGGGCAGGACTTCTTCGTGCCGGCCCAGGCCTAGGAGCAGTCGGATGGCCAGGAAGCAGGCCCTGGCCTCCAGGGCACAGCTGCCTGCCACAATTCCCTGGCGCAGCACATAGGCCACCACATCGAGCTCATTCTTGGTGCTACACTCGCGGTCAGGCAAACAGGCCAGCAGCGCACCTGCCTTTTCCAGCAGGGCCGAGCCTTTGTGCCTCAGCCTCTGCCTCAGGTAGATGGCACCCAGATTGATGTACAGGGCAGCCACCAAGGAGAGGTCCTCAAAGGCCCCACCGAGGACGTACACAGCCTCCTCAAAGTACACCCTGGCCTGCGAGAGTTTGACCTTCCTGACGCTCAGCCGGCCCAGGAGGAAGCAGAGCCTGGCATGGGCCCAGGTCATGCGGTTCCGCTTGGCCCACTTCCTGGAGGCCTCCAGGTAGGCCGCAAGTTCGTCCTCCTCGGAGAAGCTATAAAAGGAAGACGTGAGGAAAGAGAAGGAGAAATCATAGAGGCTCTTGAAGTGGTCAGCGTAACCCTCACGATCCAGGAAAGCCAGCACGGGGGCGAAATTCTCAGCCTCCTCTTCTTCCTGACCGGTGTTTAGGTCCATGAGCAGTTCTGGGTCATCGAGGTCATCAGGCTCTGGCAGGTGATAGCTGTCCGAGGCTGCTGAGAGGAGCTCCTCCTCCAGGCTGGAGTCCTCGGAGCTGCTGGAAGATCTGGAGGCCACAGCCTGATGCTCCTCCCAGGCTCTACCAGTCCTGGCTTCCTTGCAGCCTTCGGGCCGGGCCACTGTAAGGGACAGGCAGAGGTGAACAACCCTAGGGCGGGATGCTGCTCTGAAGGACTGGAGGTCACGTTCAGCATGATCTCTACTCACCGCTTAGGTCGTTCGGAAGGTTCTGGATGGATTCAAACCCACCTGGATAGAGACGAAGGACAGACATGGCGTTAGGTCAGAAGAGGCCACCGCGGCTGGGCCTGCAGGTGTACCCCAGGCCCGTAGTCCCTTAGGACACTTCGGGTTTAAATCTCTCTAGGAAACCGGGCAGAATGCTCTCCTTCATCGGCAGCTTGAGAGCTGCAGGAGCCTGGAGAGCATCTTGTTTAAGCCACTCACTTTACAGTGGGGCACTGAGATACAAAATAAGACCCAGAGCCAGAAAAGGAAAGTGGAAAAGCTAGTACACGAGCTCTCTTCTAGGAGGTGTGGGAATGGGGAGGATGGCAAAATCGAGAGGCGCAAATCTACCCCCCAGCTGACTGCAGAGCCATGAACAAAGCTCCCAATCATGGCGCACTCTGTGGATGCCTTTCCTCCTTCCATTCACTCATCACTATGCCAGGGCTGATGCAGCAGCCTGGGCTGGGGGCTCCTCACAAATGCTCCTTGGGCATGGTGGAAGATTCTAACGCCCACCTCTGCTCCAGGGAGCGAGCCTGCAGGTTCGCTCTGAAGGATCTCTGTTCTGTGCCCTTGAACTGGGCCCCATCTACTCTGGCCACACACGGGTGGACACACTATCACCATCACAGAAGAGATGGAAGAAACAAGAATCCTTCCTCAAACCACTGTCCAAGGGCAAATGTGCTTTCTGACACAGAGCGTGGGCCCTTCCAAAATAGGGAAAGGGTGGCATTCATTCCCTCAATCATCCAGGAACTGGTGAAAACAGCCAGCCCTGTGGTCCCTCCCCCACCCAAGGCCAACACACCCCAACAGTCCAAGGTCAGCCTGTGTTGGGGCCAATGTGGTGGAGCACGGATGGTCCTGATTAGAAAATGGGCATAGTCAGTTCCTAGCCTGGCTCATGCACGCATTCACCAGGGACTCAGTTTCCAATCTGTGAAATGAGATGAGAAATCATCTCTCGGAACCTGTAACATTCTACAGTCCTGCCTTTATCACTGGGGACCTAGACCTCCTTCAGCTACAACTCAGGACGTTTCCTCCCAGATTAGACCGAAAGGCTCAATATGGTTGGCCTCCCACGCTATCACCCAGCCGAGCTTTCCAAGGGGTCTGGGGAGCCAATACTCACTAAGCCGGTAGACAGATGCTATGTCAGTATGAGCGAGCGAGTGGAGGAAGCTGGCACACTCGGCCTTCCTGTCGCTTCCCAGGACCCACAGAGAGCATCTCTCCTCATCACTGAAAAAGGCTGAGCTCTTATTCCTGCGTGGAGAGAAAAAGACATGGATCTAGATCAGTGCAAGGTTCTGGACACAACCGTTCTCTCTCCATCTCAGGATATGGTGAAGGCTATAGAGAAACCACCAGCTTGTTTGCCAGAGCTCGAGTCAGACTCCTCATCTCCTGTTGCATCAGGTTTTTACCTCTGCTGCCAAGGAGGAAAAGCTATTAGCACCCCACTCAGGAAGAAATGAGCTAAGCTGCTGCTGAACAGCTCAAAAGTAGAGACGAAAATACCCCTTCTATTAAAACTCTATCTCTCAAGAAAAACAAAGCCTCTTCTCTTGGCCCCTCCTCTTTCTTTGAGACCCCCTGGTGCCCATTTTTAATGGAAAGAGGAATCAGTTGGCCCCCTAAGGTAAGGGTTGAAAAGGGACCATTAAAAGGTATTTCCTGATCAGGTTATTTGTCAGGGACAGGTGACATGCTCTAGAGAGGCGATGAAGAAAGTTTGACTATGGTCAGAAGGGACTTTTCACAATTGTTGCCATCTGATTTCATGGCAGAGCAAGAGCATGATGCGGCGTTCAGAGAGTGGATGGGAAGTGGGTAGAAGGAAGGTCAAGGGCTGGAAAAAATGACTGCAAATAATAGAGACCCTTATACTCGCTGTACTGTATAAACTCATTGTTAAAACTAATTTGCTTACTAGAAATTTGTCATAGAATCAAAGAATGTGAAAACGAGTAGTGCCTTAGAAAGAATTCAACCCAGAATCTACCGCCTGAACAATTTCTGGAAATCTCTTTCAGGTCTAAATAGAGTTGCTGTTTTTTCAACCTCAGAATCCCTTTTTTAAACAAAAATAACTTGGAAGCCCAAGAGTTAATAAGAGCTAATACTTGGGGGGTGGAGAACTTATTGGAATCAGACCATCTTATCTCCTATAACCTACACAATGGCCCTATGAGGCAGGAAGTGTTCTTGTCCCTTCTTACAAAGGATGAAACTGAGGCACAGAAAAATAGAGTTGGTGGTTAGGAAGTGGTAGAGCAGGATATAAAAAAAGCTTCTCTGGTTCAAACTGAATGGAGGGAGGGGCAGAGATGAGGAGTGCTGTGGTCTGCCACCTACATTTGTCCCCAGAACTCAGGGCAACCCAGTGATGAGAAAACCAAGAGCTAACAGGAGCTGCTCAAGGTCACACCGCTAGTTAGTGACAGAACTGGCACTCAAGCTCTGTCCTGACATCTGGCCCGGGACTCTTTCCATGACACTTATGGACTCTGCAGCTCTCTGGCCTGACTTCCAGATTCTCCCAGACCATGAGAGCAGCCGTCCTCAAAAGGGCACCTCGCTGAAATCTACAACTAAACTTACCTGAGATTAAAAAAAAAAAAAGAATGATAGGATTTCAAATCTCTGTAGAACCCTTACATTTTACAAAGCATTCTCGAATTTACTATTTCGTTCAGCAACATGCTCAGAATGACACAACTAGGAAGTGGTAAAGCTGAGACTGAGAGTGTGATTCCCCTGCCTCTGTGCCCAATGCCTCACAGCAGATCTGCTAATGGCCTGAGGCCCAGATATTTAGAAAGAGTCCAAGGAGCTTGACAAATTATGTTAGGGTTTTCCTAGCATGGAAATTGGGTTAGAATGGTAGGGTTTCTAGAAATATGGCAGGCTGAGCAGCTCCACAGGGGGCCACGCTCACCCACATCCACAGACAAATCTTAGACAAAATGTGACATGGATAAATAGTTTAATACATTCTTTAACCTAAAAGAAAGCAAGGGAAATGCCTGGAAGCCAGAAACAAAAGGAGGAAACAAAGTCAAGCTGATAAGCAAGAGCAGATGGTCCAGAGACCCCAGGCGTTCTCAGCTGGGATGCTGGCCCTCAGCATTGGGGCTCACCTTACAATGCCACACATAGGGACAGGAGATGTGATTTTGGGTCTGTGTGAACCAGGAAAGCTGAACTGAGCTCCCCGCATAGCTGTGAGCTCCCGATAGCCTGAAGTCTGGCAGAACTATAACTTCTGTAAAGCGAAGATGGGAAAAGCAGCCTGCCAACGACACACTTTCCATCTGTGTGAGTCTCTGGGAAAGATTCAAACACCAGGACTTACACCGTTAAAAGGTGTGGGCTCTGAATTACACTGTACAGTGTAGGTACTGCCATCAGAGAACTCCACTCTGAAAAACCAGGCCTGGACCGCTGAGCTCCTAAGTTTTCAAGGGAAACAAACGCCAAAACTGCTCTCCTGGGATGTTTTCTTCAGCGCAGCTTCATGCAGAGACCATGTTTTAAAATGCTGAAAATGCATTCACATAACCGAAAATTCAAACACAAGAGAAGGAACCATGGACAGTGAGTGCCAGCAGGTGCACAAATAGGTACATGAACACTACAAAAGCTAGAAATAACACCAACCTAAAGATTAATTTATAATAAGCATGGTTAAAGTGATGAAATAAAAGACTGAATGGAGGCTACAGAGAAAACATGAACCTGGTGAGTAGAAACAAGTGTATTTGGAAACTAGCAAAATACAAACTCTAGAAATGAAAATAAAGGTATGGGCACTTAGGGCGACATGAGTGGAGTTAAACAGCAGGTTTAGTCGTGGCAGAGGAGAGAATTAGTGAAACTGAAAATGGTTCTGAGGAAATCACCCAGAATGCACTAGAAGAACAAAAAGATGAAAAATAGAAAAGAACTGATTAAGCGAGATTGAGGATAGAATGGCAAGTCCAACATACCTCTGATAGGAATTCCGGAAGAGAGACTAAAAAGAATGAGAGAGAGGCAATATTCAAAGGGAGAATGACTGAGAGTTTTCCAGAATTGAAGAAAGACATGAGTCTTCAAATTGAAGAAGTACACCACGCCCTGAGCAAAATAAATAGAAACAGTAAGAAATTTAACATGACTTCCATTTCTTTCAGGTTATTGGTCTTTTCATGTTTTCTATTTCTCCTAACCCTTCTTTCCGGGCTTGATTATCTATTACTTGACTGTTCAATTTACAGGATGAAAGAGTTAAACAGAAAAGAGAACAAATTAATGAAATTTTTAAAAAGTAGAAGAAAATAATGAAGGTAAATGTGAAACTAGTGAAACAGAAAACAAAGAAACAATAAAGACGGTCAAGATCAGAAAAATTGTTTCTAAGGATTAATAAAATGCACAAAACCCTGGCATAACAGATTTGAAATTTTATATTAATGGTTATTTCCCCCTCCACTTTGAAGGCTCTTCTGTCCTTAGCTAAATTATCATGCACAAGTATATTTTAAGTATATTTAAGACAAACAAGGACTAAAGACCGAGAGTAGTTACAGCTCATAGATCTCCACTGAAGTAACTACTAAAAGATACACAGTGTGAACACGGGAGTGGACACCTTGCGATAAATACGTAACAGAAAAACCACATCTAGATATATCATAGTACAAAACGTAAGTAAAAGAAACTAAGAAAATGAGAAAAAAAAAGCTGCCTACCTGCAAAGAAATGGCTGGGAGACTAACAGAAAACTTATCATTAACAAAAATAGATGCCACAAGAAATGGAATTATAAAGAAGACAGAGAAAAACATTGTGAAGTATAAAAAACGGGATGTAAGAAGCAGAATTTTTCAAACTTCTAATACTACAAAATACTGGCTTATGTCTTATGTTCTTTATTTCTGACGTTGAGTGCATTAATTTTTCAGTCTTGCTTGTTTTTTTAATTTACACATTTAAGTACATAAATTTCCTTTAAGTAAACACTTTGGTAAACCGAACTAGATCTACTATAATGGGAATAAATCCTAAATTTACCATATCAACTTAAAAAAAGGCCAGTTCCAAAAAAAACCTATTTATATACATTTTTAAATACACAAAACTCTAGTATTTTTTTTTTACAAGTAAACACCCCTTTCTATTTCTAAAAGGTACAGAATGAGGACTGGAAAGATACATATCAGATTCAAATAGAGTCTGCCGCTGGGGTAAGAATCAGGACCTGAAGGTGAAAGTAGGGAGGAGTAAAAAGGAGTCTTCAGTTGTATCTAAAGACATTTTTCCCTCAACACACACACACACACACACACACACACACACACACACACACCCCAAATACACTTTAAAAGCATAAAACCAAAAGAAAGGAAAGGTGTGGCATTCTGTCACCATCAGAAGTTCTTCAGTCTGTAACGACACTCTGGCCAAAACAAAGCCATGTCTATTCAGACAGAATGCCTACCCCCAAGTCTTAAGAACTGGTTTTCCAGCTGCTATTGCTGTGAATCTAGGTAGCTGGTATTGAAATATGTGCTGTTAAAAAAAGGAAACCCACAACTCTGCTTCTGTGGAAAAACAGGATCCTTTTCCAGTGTGTCAGGGGCACAGACCAAATCTGGCTCACAAAACAGCTTCTGAGAAATTTCACTCTTAATTATGCAGATTTGGTTAAATAAATTTAACCAAATTCGTTGGATGGATGCATGAATGGGTGGATGGACTCATGGATGGATGGATGGATGGATGGATGGACGGATGGACGGATGGATGGACGCATGGATGAGTGGATAAATGAATGAATGAAGAACGAATGAATGAATGAATACACTCTTTGGGAGTAATATACTAGCACAGGGCAGGAGACTATGGGAAAAGGAAGGAGACCAGCAAATGCTGGACTGTCTTCAGAAAACTGACACCAAATGAACACAGACTAAGAGTGACACCCAGTGGCCAGACCACCTGCATGGCACACAAGTCAATTCCCAGGACCTCCACACCCAGGGTGCTGCTTGTGGCCAGCTTGTTTATGGGCTTTTTCTCTCATTGCTGTGATTCAGGGAGGTCTGTGATCTAGGCAGTTCTTTGGGGGAAGGGGGGTGCAATAAGCCACTTCCCCTCTCCCCTCCTTCCCTCTCTCCCTGTCTCCTGGCTCACTTTCCCCTTCCCCACCCAATGCGTAGTCTCTGGTGATGGGGTCCCCTGGACCAGGTAGAGGGACCATCAGAAGACACTGGGAGAAATAAGGAGAATTTCTCATGCCACCCACTTCCATACAGGAGGTGATGTTCTTCATGGTGACACTGTATCCAACTAAGCCAGCTAGAATGTGATATTCAAATTAATTTAGTGGTACAAGTTATTGCTGTTTGGGGCAAGGTATGAGGTCCCGAAGTCCAATAATGCATGGAATCGGACCCCTGCCCCCAATATCCTATTAAAGCTGCTTCTCAAAGATCACCACTCATGGCGATAATGGCATTAGTAAGAGTTAGTGCACATCGGCCACATATACACACACTGTGCCAGGCACCGTCGTAAGTGCTTTACATGTACAGAATCAGCTTACATTAACTCCTGACAACCCTCTGGGCAAGTACTAATATTGTGTGCATTTTACAGGCGGAAACTTGAGGCAGAGAGATGCCAATTAGCACATCCAGAGTCACGGAACTGGTAAGCTAGTGGAGATACATGATGTGTGCTCACATGCTCATAAATGCCTTTCATGCAGTCTGGCTCTGGAATTCTGGTTACCAAGCTACGCTGCCTCCCGATGACCAGTGACCTCTCCATGGCCGGTCCCCAAGGCCTTTCAGCAGGCAGCCCCGCTTTCCCTCTCTGCAGCCTGCAACAGTGTTCATTATCTCTGCACCTCCCTTCCCTCCTCCCTCTCATCTTGCTCCTCTGTTCCTCTGTCTCCTTTGCTACATGTCTTCCTCCTCTGCTCTGTAAATTGTTCTTCCCCACCGAATCTCAGGGCTCCTTATTCTTTCTCCCTCTTACCAGGATCTCAGCTCCAGAACTATATTGCTGAGAACGAACCCTAGCTTTAACATCAGGATTCTGGGGTCCCAGACACAAGGCCTTGGGTTCAGCCCTTTCACTCCTGGGGTCCTCGCTTGCCCCCGCGGGAAATGAGCGGGTGGTTTGAGCAGCGGGTCTCACCTTGGCTGCATGTTAGCCCCACCTGGGGAGCTTCCGTAACCATGGCTGTCCAGGCACCCACACCAATGAGATAGAACCTCTGCGGGGCAGAACGCTGGCATCCGTATTTATAAAGCTCCTGGAATCTCTACATTCCTGTTAACTGGTTCTCAGCAGTGCCCTCTGCTCTCCATTCCCTCCACCCCTTCCTAGGTGGCCACCTCGGCATTCTTGCTGGTCCCCTGCCTCCAGCTTCTCCCCTGCCCATGCACACCTCACTCAAGGCCATGGTTAGCTCCCCACAGAGAAGTTCCAGTCACATCACGTGTCTCCCCTTCTCAGAGACACCCCCAGGCTCCCCAGGCTCTGCCGGTTAAAGGACACAGGCCCCTGCACAGGCATTCTCCGTGTGCCACGTCATGGCCCTCCTGAGTCTTTGCCGCACCGGTGCCCTCCTGGTGGCCCGCTTCTCAATGAGCAGGAGCCATTCCCCAAGAATCCCCTCACTTTCCTACCTGTGTTCACGTGTCTCCATTTCCATCTGCCTCATCCAAAGCTGAGCTCAAATACTGCCTGTTTCATGTGAGTTCTCCTGACACCCTTTCTTCCTTATAAGCTCCCATTCACTCCTTAATCCTCTAGGGGTTCAGTGAGTCTTTTCCTTGATTAGAATCACTTGGATCCCGAAAATGACCTTCTGTCTCTTCTCCCTACAAAGGGCAAGGCTTAGAAGAAGATCCTGCCCTCTCTGACCCTCCCCTGCTCACCCTGTGTGTGTGTCTCTCTCTCTGCTAGAAATAAATAAAACATTTAAAAAAAAAAAAAAAAAAAAAAAAAAAGAAGAAGATCCTGCCCTTGGCCCGCTCTCTTTGGTGGCTCTTTCATACAAGGAAGGGATTCCAGTATGAGTGTTCAGGGCCTTAGATAATCCTTGAGCCACGTTTTCCCTGTGTCTCAATGTAGCAGCCAACTCGGTGTCCCTTCTGGTACTTTCTGGGCCCAGGCTTCCTACTGTTTCCTATCCTTCTGCGGGAAGCCCAACCCAGAGAGAGTGGTCAATATTCCTGCCGCTCATTGGTCCCATGCATCCGCTCCTCAGAACAGCCCTGTGGAGGCCAGGCAGACAGGAGTGAAAGATGCACTCTACCATCTTGGCCACCACCATGATGCTTTCAGCGGATACACCTCCACGGGAGGATCTCTCCGTTCCCTGAGCTGTAATCTATAGGTCCTTGTGTGGGCCGTTCCCTCAATGGGGGGCCTTTGATTGGACGAGGTGAGTGGCAGAATACAAGTACCAACACCACACCCACGGTGACAATAGCAGGCCCTTCATCTCGGGGCTGTGCTTCTCTCTTTATGGGAAGGCCTCGATGACCACCTGCTGAACAGAACCAAACTGACTTATTCCTTGATGACTCATCCTCTCCTTCCCATCAGCCCCCGTGACAGCCATGGTTGTCAGAATGTGCTCCTCTGACTCTCTCTTGCTGGGGAATCCTGAAGCTCCTCTGTGACCCTGTTCCATACTGGGTAGACCCTCCTGGGAGGGCACCTGCTCCAGAATCCCAGAGGGCCTCTTTGCCTTACTCACATTGGAGAATAAGACTCAGGATCTATGTTCCTGGTGGGAACAAAGCCCACTTCTCCAGAGCGCGTCGACTTCCCAATGAACCACTGAAGCCCAGGAATGACAAAGCCGATGATCTCGATGCTTTCTCCCCGGTGAAAATTCAGTTCATCCTTGTCTTCCCTCTCATATTCTTTCCAGGCCTTACATTTCCCTCTGCCTGTGGAGAAATAACATCCATGTCAACTAAACAAGGCAGAAACTGCTTCCAGTGTAATATGAAATGAAGGGTCCCCAGGATTTAGGATTTCAAGGACCAGTAAAATCTCCCCCCCCCCCCCCCCCCCCCCCCCCCCCAAGAAAAGAAACTGGCAGGAACAACACAGGGTAACTGGCTTTTAATTTTGCCCAGCTAGGACATTCAAAGAAAGGAACTACCATCCACTGTCATCATCACTTTACAAAAGAAATGATATACTAACAAATGCAGAAAAGATCATCTCAGAATACTGGATATACGCTAAAACTGAATTAAGTTCACTCATGGAAAACTGGAAAGCTGACTCTATTGTCCTACGGTGTCTGATTTGTCATGATCTTGTAAATACTTCATCGTGCTTAGCACAAATCCACAGACCAATGTGAGAAACATTGGGGAATCTCCCCATTTCCTTCCAGCTCCTTTGGCCACTATGAGCCTCAGTCTCCCCAACCGTAAAATGAGAATAATAAGAACGATTGCCTCATAAATATTAGGAAACGCCAAAGAGATTAGGTGTGAAATGCCTGATACCTAATCAACCCTCAATAAATGTTAGCCTCATGTCACTGGTGAAGCGAAAACTGCTCAGGACCCAATCTGGAAGACGTCCCTTCTGACTGTGGTCATTACTCAGCTGGGGGGTTTCCCAGCTAAGATCTAGCAATGACATCTTGATAAGCCCTGTAGCATCCACTTAACAAAGTACATTTAAGCCTGTTTTCTCAGATCCTCCCAAGAGTCCTAAGGGGATCAGAATACCCTTTTTATACGTTAAAAGGTGGAAGCACAGAGAGGGTCTGTGATTTACCTAAGGAACTCAGTCTCTCAGCTGCTGGTTAACCTTTCTTTCTGCTAATCCTGCTTTGCTTAGAATGATGGTTTTTATGTCGCTTAGTTTCCATATTTGCTTTAGCTGCTCTGCTAAAGCTACTGGCTTTTTTTTTTTTTTTTTGACCTCTGACATTTTTGATCAAGTCACTATTGATTCTGTCTTCAAGGTCAGAAATTCCCACCACTTTGTGGGCTGGTGGTATCTGTGGTGTGTTAAAGACTTGCAGTGTGAAATAACTGTACTAAGTGATTTTCAGATGCCCTTTAGTTGATTTCTCATGATGTGCAAAGTCAGTTTTATGGTAACATTTTACTCATGAGGAACTTGTGGCATGGTAAGAGCTCGTGGATTGGCTGAGACCACGCTGGTCTTAAGGCGTGGAGTCAGATTTTGAACCCAGAGCAGACTTCACAGGCCCGTATTCATAACTCCAGGGAATGCTTGTACTGCCTCAGATAGCTGAAAATCTTATTTATGGTCAACTGATGGATTAGAGCTAATGTCTGGGTTCCATAATTCCCTGCATTTCTTTTTATAAAGTGTTATTTGGAAAAAACATAAAGGGTTATTGGGGTTCCGAGTTTACAAAATTGCACTTGGGCTAAATTGGTTGGGAGTGGGGAGGGGCTCTAAGGATGAAGATGAAAGGAAGTACATTCTAGATACTTAGAAAACATTACAGATACTTAGTATCTGTATTCTCAAGATACTTAGAAAACATTTCCAGTTGATACATACGTACTTATAGATACATGTGTATCTATATATATATATACATATAATATATACATATATACATATACTTCATTTATTTACCCAACAGGTATTTACTGAGTATATCCGTTGTGTGCCAGTCATTCTGACTCTTCCTAAATTCAAGCCCAATTTCACCTAACTTTAAGGGACATTAGAAAAACATTTTGACCAGAGATTGAAAATAGGCAGCCTGCAGGCCACATGTGACCCACACCTGGTTTCTTATTCACCCATATTCTTTTACATCCCTATGGTCCCTGCCACTCCCCTACATCTTCCCTCCAGGTCCTCAGGCCTCTGTGTGTTCTCTGTGCCCCTGTGAGCATTTGTGTCAATAGCCCTGGATTGAGACCTCTCATTTCACAGGCAAAGAAACCCATGCTATAGACAGCAGCCAGCCTCTCCACATCCAGGGAGCAGCAGAGGCTAAACAGGAATTCACACCAACGGACTCCAAACTTGCAGATAAAATTAGGAGGCGGGGCAATATGATCTCCCTGGCAATACCCTCTTCAACTCAGCCATACCGATCTGATAGGAGCCCGTCCAATCCCTCTTCCTGGAAAGGCCACAGCTTCCTGGATAATTCTTTAGGAACCATCTGCCAATGGAAACAGGGGGTATGCAAACAAAGATTTCAACAAAATGACAACCCCAAGCAGAACAATCCATTAAAATAACAACAAGGGTGATGATGGTAAGTATCATGGTTATTACCCCTATTATAATGACGGCAAACATTTACTGAGCATTTAGGCAGTGTGAAAAAGGAGAATTCAGCAGGCCCAGGATGGTTTTTTGGCTCTACAATTAGTTCGCCAGTTAAATAACTAACAAAGGATCCCTTTCCTTTATCACCATCAGATTCTCTGCCAGAGCCAACCACAGGGTCCACAGCCTGAGATCATGTGTATTGTCACTTGGTATGTTTGAGTTGACAACATCTTCCGGAAGGGATTTTCAAACTTTAGTATGGAACACATCCTCTTACGTTCAAAGGGAGCTTATATAAAGTGCAAATTCCTGAATCTAATCTTAATAGAGTCTGAAGATGGCCAGCGGGGGGCACTGAATTTGTAGTAAATCCCAGATGATTCTGATACAAATGGTCCCCAGTCCCCACATTGAGAAACACTGCATTTGGAGACTCGGCAGTAGGTTTCCTCTTAGGTACAAGGTCCATCCGAAATTCTGAGTTGTCTCTGATGTCATCAAATTGTGCACATTTTGACAAAATAACGAAAGACAAAAAACCATCCAGATTTTGTTCCCTCCCTAGCACTCTAGATGCCCTTATCTGCAAGCACGTTTACTCTGTTCCGTGCAGACCTCGGGCAGCTCTGGGACCCACTCCCAAGATGCAGGTGGCTACTCACTGGTGGAAAGGGAGCGGCAGAGGTTCGAGGGCTGACACAGGCACCAGGCCCCGCTGACCAGTCAGCAGGGACATGCCCTCCCACTCGGATCCGCCTTCAGCTATTTTCACGGAGATTAACTCCTTCTTCCAAAGTGTCAAGTACTCCCCTTCCTTCTCAGGTGGCTGAGCCACGGGGCACATGGCTCTGCAGAAGAAGTAGCCTGTAGACAATGAGAAAAGCCCCTCCAAGGAGTAGAAGAAAGTGAAAAGGGAGTATCGCACAATGTAACCTTTTAACAGAAGCCCAGATGCTTTTCTTCCTGGGAGTCAAGTACACAGCCAAGGGAGAGACATCCCAGAGAGACTTTGTGATCCCAGAAAAACCACACCAGGCGGGGGAAAGAGCCACTGAGAGGGAACGCACTTAAATTAAACAGCATAAACTCAGAGTAATTTGTGAGAATAAGGTGTAACTGGGACTTGGCCTTGAAAAAAAAAATGAAACAAGAATTAATGAAACTATATTTAACAGAATTTCAGTTACAATCCCAACCTTCTGCTTAATCTTAGGACCAAAAAAGAATAAATGAAGTTGATTTCAGCGAACAGAATATCTCCAACTAGATTTTGTAGTAGCACAGTGTAGAATTCTGTCCTTCAACCGTGATTTGTGCGATGCAGTCATTAACAGCATCATTTTGGAAAACAGTATGCAAATCTGGCTTTTTGCGTGTGTCTGCAATATCATCAGTTGTTACGAGATTGCTTGGAACCTTGTTCAGATGCTTCCTCGTAAACAGATAAGCAGGTGCTCTAAGAAGTTCCCCGACACCGTTTTCCTCGATCTCATGAAATCTTGCAGGTTTTGTAGAATTTGTGATTTCATTTCACAATCAAACTCTATCATATATCTTTTAAAGGGACTCTTACTCTTGGATGCACATTAGCATCATCCGGGCAACTTTCAAAAATCCCAAAGCCTGGCTCCTCGCTCTGGAGATTGAATTGGCCCAGGTGGACCCCTGGCATGGACAGCTTCTAAAAATTCCCCCAAGCAGTTCTAACATCAGATAATCAGTGGGGACTGACAATTATAGCCGTTCGTGTGATGTCAGTGTCAGACCAGGAGAGATGTTTGGAGTCGTATTATAAGAGGTGGGTTTATTTATGAACGTTCTCACCTTTAAATGTTTTCACCTCTCTTTGCATCCTAATTATAGAGCCCATTCCACCCCTACTCCGCACTCACCTTCCTGTATCAGAAGTCCCAGGTATATCGTTTCCAGGTGTTTCTCATCCACTGACACTTGGATCTCAGTATCTTCCACCAATCTGCAGTTGAGCCAGTACTTATGGTCAAAGAGTAGATGTTCCAGACATACAGAGACATAGCCTACGGAGTCAAACCAACAAGACCCTGAACTCAGCGTGATTCCTGCCACTAGCTGAGCCCGGAAGAGGTTGAGAAAGCTCCTTCTGGAAGTTCCCTCCCGGCCCACCGTCCCCAACCTGACCCCATTTAACTGGAATTGGAAGGGCATAGAGAGGTAGCTAGTAAATTTCTAGAGCAAACTGATTCTTCTGAGCATCTGTTGGGAAATACAAGTCATTTTTCAATGATATTTACCATTCCCAATAATTACGGGTCTCCATGAAAGCACAGTGAGCTGACCAACCCTAATTTCCTTTTTCTAATATGTCCATGGACAGATCTCCAAGATCATAATTTGGACTCTGAGGGACCCTGGTCACCCTCCCCCCTTTAAAGTTTTCCTGACTTGAGTTTCAAATTTCTATGTGGCTGATGATGCAGTGGCTGGTGGGCTGTCCGTGACCCACAAAGGAGTCAGGATTTTCTTTAACATCCCCTCTCTGAGCCTCTCCATCAGTCATGCTCACTATGGTCTCCCTTGTTATAACCAGACTAAATTGCAACCGTGGATGATAATTCACATATGCCTTTAAATGTGACTTATCTGTATTCAAACTGCTACTTTTGAGACTTCCTCTTTCTTATGATGCAAAACCCTGTTTTTTTCGCATCCTGACTCTCCGTTATACCTATGTAGGCTTCGTGTGTTTTCTATAGTTGTGCTTCTTGTACTTTAATTGCACATAAGACACCTGGGGAGCTTATTAAAATACAGATGCCGGTTCAGTAGGTCTGGGATGGGACCTGGGACCCTACTTCTGTAACAAGCTCCACACGATGCCCATGGTGCTGCTCCATGGATTAGACTTTGAACTGAAGATGGGTCCCTAAATGATCACAGGAGATGGATGCAAAGTGTGGAGAGCAGGAAATCACCATGACTATGAGAAGTTATGCCTTCTAGCCAAGAGCCCTCTTGACCCTTCCCCCCTATACAAGGTCACTTCCTGGAAAACCCTGCAGTCTGAGTCCTTTAGCAGATAACTCCCCATCCCTTTCTTTGATGCTTTTCCAAAAACATGAGCTAACATATCCAGAACTTTACTATTCTGAGCAGCTAACTTTGATCTTACTCAAGACTGGTTCCTTTATTTTTTCCTTTAAACCATGAATCGGCATCTCTCTCAGTCCTTTGAATTTAGTCTATCGCTAAGAACTGTCTGCCAATTGATTGATTATCTAAGAAAGTAGTCTTTTCTGGCAATCAAAGAAATGTGGCACATAGCATTTGAGGGTAGTAGTCAATATTTGCTTTAGACTTTGTTCCAGGCAATTTGTGATATTACAAAAGTTGACCATCCATATCAGCGCTCTACCTCTTTTGATTATCAGAAGCGGACCACTTCCCTAATGTCAAGTCCTACAGATTGGCTGAACTCTGATACAGTTGTGTCCTCCAGCCGCCTGCCCCACATCATACCTAAGTTCAAGTAGGTGGAAAACTTCCAGATTTCCTCCATGGTCTTGAAGGTGATGAGGAACTGAGCCTTCTGGGACTGGATACCCACCAACCTAGCTGAGAGGTCCTGGGTAAAGAGAACAGTGAGGAGACCTGGGATGACAGTGTCCTGTTAATGACGTTCCAGACATGCAAAACGCTTCATATGAATTTCTCGATTGTGGCATTGATTTGGGCTTATATCACCAGAAAAGAAAAAACAAAGGAAACAACCTAAATGTCCACCAACAGGAGACTGGTTAAAATGAATTATGACTCATCCATGCAATGGATATGATATGATGCAGCCATAAAAAAGGGAATGAGGAAATTCTTTGTGCAGGGGCAAAGCCTCCAAACATACATTGCTAGATGCAACAACGGAAAGAAAGCAACGTGCAGAACTGTGGGCAAAGAATACTCCCTTTGTATTTAAAAAAAAAAAAAAAAAAGGTGTATAGGGGAGGGGGAAGGATAAATAACAGAAGGCACCTTGGAAGCCAGTTTGATTGTGAATCTATGTCTAATGATTATTTTTATAAAGCTGACAAGCAGAAAAACCGAATTACATGCAAACAAAAACCATCCACAGCGCTCCCCCCCCCACCGAGACCATCTGTGTTAACCCTTTTGTGCATTAACTCTGAATCCTCTTTCCTCTCCATGAGCTTGGATGTAACTATTTTTATATAAATAGAACTACATTATGTAAATTGTTTTGTAATCTTCTTTTGTAACGAAATAATATGTTGTGAACCCTCTCCCTTGTCATTAAATGACCTGCATTCTTTTTACTGGTGACATATGCCATTGCTACATCAACATAATGAATTCTTAACATTGTCTTATGGTTAAACGTTTGAGTTGTTTCCATTTCCTCACCATCCTGAACAGTACTGGGATAAACATCCAATGGTTAAATCTTCGTACACATCTTTGATTGGCTTGACAAAAGTTATTCTGAGATGTGCAGCTGGGAACGCAGATATTCATGTTTTCAGTCCTAACATGCGGGAGCCAAACTGCCCTTCAGAAAGGCTGTGCTAGACCATTTTGCCTGCTTCACCTCCCCTTCTTTTAATACCTGAGAAAACAGGCCTGAACCACTATACAGACTGGGGTTTCCCCTAAAATCTTTCTGTTGCTTGCCCAAGCTTTTAGAGCTGACTATAATGAGTGATGGTCAGGATATCCTTTCTCCCCCAGGCCAGCTCCAGCCGTCAAAGATCACCCCCGGAACACTATTCTGGGGGAACCCTATGGAAAGAAGAGGATAGAAAGAGAGGAAGGAAGAGAGGAAGAGACACCAGGCCAGCAAAGTCAAAACTCTGGGGTTCTCCCCAACCAGGCCCCAGGAGTCCCCAGGTCCCTGGAGGATGTCAATCCTGTTGATCAGGGAACGGGCTCTAGATAAAAATTGATTTCCAGGAGATTCATTAATTGTGAGGCACTTCACCAAGAGCTTTAGGAACCATGTCTCATTTACTCACAAGGATCCTGTAAAAAGAGTACAATTACACGGCTCTATACATTCTAGGATGCACTTTTCCCGCATTTGATCATTTCTGAAATAAAAGAGAAAGAAGTGTGATGTCCTACTTATGTGGCAGCATGTCTTTTCTTCCATTGAGGTATATAAAATGTTGGGGCCTTTTCTCATCAAACAGCATCTCAGATTTAATAGAAAATGGCACTGTCCATGTCAAGGAGGCCCAGGCACAGACAGGGTAAGCCATCTGCCCATGGTCCCCTATGTGGGTGCTGTGACACTCTGGCACACAAGCTTGCCTGGCTCCCTCCTCCACCCAGCGGACCACCTGGCTCAGTCACACCCAGCTCTTGCCCACGCCACAAGTGACTCAAATTTTAAAAGTACTTTGGTGCCAGTGAGCGGCTCGTGCCTCCGAGTTCTGAATTCTGGAAATTAAAAAAGCCACACACTACTATTTATAGCTTACCTACTATTTATGGAACCTATGCCACCACCCAAGCAAAGTGCCAAGCTCTCTACAGATACTGACTCACTGACTCCTCCCACCAAACCAGACACTTTTTTTTTTTTTACATGATGGATTAATAGAACACATTTCCCTTTATAATTTGTATCAAATTAATTCAGGGACTGTAAAAATAACTAGGACATATTAGTTTTTTTACATAAAGTAATATTCTCTTTCTCCCACTCTAGCTGCAGCAACTTTTAACCATTTCTGGTTAAGTGGTTAACCAGAAATTTGGCTCTCCTAATAAGTCCCTCCTAAGCTGTAAATAATTTGGTCAGACCCTTCTTCCTTGGTGGAATGACTGAAGAGACTAGCTCCCCACTATGGAAGAGGAGGAACTGGTGTTTTACTTTAATGCCTTTATCTCCTCCCATTCTAAAATGTATAGTTACTAATTTCTGATTGGCAATTTTGGTAATTTAAAAAATATATATACTTATTGGTTAACGGTGGTGAGGGAAGGAGACAGAGGGGAGTTATTGTTTAGCAGGTATGGAGTTTCCGTTTGAGATGATGAAAAAGTTCTGGAATAAACTGTGATAATGGCTGCATAACAAGGTGAGTGCACTTAATGCTACTGAATTATGCACTGAAAATAGTTAAAGTTTAAAATTTATGTTATATATATTTTACCACAATAAAAAATTCCAATAAAATTCCAATTAAAATTTTTTTTTAATTCCTTAAGTATACTTGATGAAGTAGATATCATAACGATTCCCATTCTACACAGGTAAGTAACTTGTGGAAGGTCAACCAACCAATAGCGGCAGATTTGAAACCGAAAGTCAGATTTTCTCTGACTGCAACTCCTTGCCAGCTTCCGAGTGCTGCCTATTCTTGGGCGGAAAATGTGCACGTTTTCATTCATTCTTTCCTTCAGCCAGCCATGTTCTTGAGGGCCTACTTTGTTTCTGGCGCTGTCCTAGGTGCTGGCGAGCCTTGCAGCGGCTGGACACAAGACAGGCTCGGAGTTGCACCCTGCGTCCCAGCTCACCTTAAACAGTGCACGCACCTCCTGGTCCTCATTCTCCAGTGCCCAGAGCCGCCTCCTGGCCGCTTCCTGCAGGGGGCCGTTTACACACCTCCTGCGGCGGCTCTTCACACTGAAGGAGAGGGTCAGATCTTAAAGAGGAGAGAGAGAGACAGAGACAGAGACAGAGATGCAATCAGGTCAGGCTGGAAACGCAATAAAAGGGAAGAAAGAATTAGATAAGCCCCCATGTTTCCCACACCTAAACCTTAAATTGGTATCCTCATTAATTAGAGATTACAAGTACTCCTAACTTTCTAACCATCTTCTGAGCACCTTTTTAAAAATGTCTCCCAAGGAGAAAAAGAAAAAGGCTGAAGTTCTAGCATGTTCTTGGAAACCTACAAGTTGCTGTTGGTTATTTCTGCTTTGAACAAGGTGTAGTCCTACACTGCCTGGCACTGAGATGACAGTGCCGACACAAACAGCTAGACGTATATTGCCTCCTGTGGATGACTTGTGAAAGTTTTGAACAGATACCAATTTATCCATTTACATGGAAACCTATTAATATGTCAAATGTTTGATATGTAATAGATGGTACATACTTTGTGCACTATGTATACACTATGTATACATTTTCTCTAAACTCTTTCTTTCTAATGTTTCTGTTAATGTTCGTCACGGTTTTTGGTGAATGTATTAAGGTCTGCCTTTAATTTGTTCAAAATGCACATTTATTCAACCACTATTGTGAGCAGAAGCTACTTTGGGTGCTGGGGCACCCTGGGAACAAAATAGACATGGCCCCTGTTCTCACAGAGCTTGTATTCTAGCAAGTAACCAATTCGGTGAACATAATAGTTTCAAATGGAGAAAAGTGCTACAAAAGAAAAGTAATCAGGTTAACAGACAGAGGGACAGAGCACTTGGAGGCTGGGGTACACCTTTGAATAGTGTTGTGAGAGAAGGTCACCCTGGGGAGGTTCATCTTATAATCGCACTTTGCCACATGCCTCCTTTAGACAATAAGTAGCAATCTTGTTAATAATTATCAAATACGATGAGCCACAAAGGCACTGGACTGCATAATATGGTGATCTCTCTTCTTCTAACCCTAACTTGGCAGAGACTTTGCAAATCCTTGAGCACTTTGAAGATGGCCCCTCTCATGCTGAGCCAGGTAACACAAGGCAGCCTGGATTCCTATCTGTGAAAGGCCCATTTTTAACCTAGAAGTCCTGAAAATGCTGTGGCTGCCAATGAGCTCCAATAAATAAACACCCAACTGACCTGACGCTGGTGTGAACTGCGGGTGGATGTTTGTTCCACTCCATTCCTCCCTGGCCTGTGATCTAATCTCATCCAAGCCCTCCATCTTCAGCTGTCCGGATCCAGCCCTCTGTCTGGTAGCCTCACTGATCAGCACACTGACCTCTAGGAGGAGGCAAAGGCCGGGGAGGCGGAGCCACACAGACCTGGGCTCAAGGCCTGGCTCTGCGCTGGCTAACTGCGCTATGCTGACCAGTTAATTTCCTCTCTGTGCTTGACTTTTCTTTCTCATTAGCAAAATGACTTGTCGAATACTTATCTCACACAGCTTTTAAGAGGCTTACCAATGAGATGATGCATATAAAGCTTTTTGTTCAGTGCCTCCAATATAGGAAATAGTCAATGGATACCTTAAGCATTAGCTATTGACTCTCACAAACTCCCTACCCCCACCCCAGTGCTGCAGCAAAATTACTGACCTCTCTGCTCCCATCTTGTCACACCTGTAATGAACCTTGACTCTGACTGATTCTGTGATGCCTTTTCACCAAGCCCATCGCTCCTGTCCTTCCAAAGCCTGATCCAAACTCCCTTCTAGAATCTCTCGCAATAGCCCCAGATGAATGACGGCCCCTTTGGTGTGGATCTCCTTGGCCTGCATATGAACCCATGGATATGTCACTCCAAAGACTGGATTTAAGTGAGCAAATGGCTTTTGAGATCCCAACAGGTGAGAGCCACCAGTGACTGTCTCCTGTCTGGGATCCTACAGTACCCTCAGCATGACCAGACAGGGGAATAAATCAAGTTCACCGCAGTGTTAGTGTGAAGTGCATTTTGTCATTTCTTTAAAAAATCTTTCTGTAAACCTGTCGTTTCATCATGCTAGTGTATCTGATTGATTGTGTCTATGACTCTTCCACCTAAAGGAGAGATTGGCGGCTTGAGCAAAGTGTCCCCTTCTCACTCAGTGACTTTCCTGGAAACAGCATCATGGAGGAAAATGCTGAAAGATGGAGAAGACCAGCCCCGGTTGGATAAATTTCACCTATGTGGTACCCTTTGTTCATCGGCCTTCATGCATTGATAAGGCAAAATGCTGACTCCACTGCCCTCAGAAAACAACAGATGGCGAGGTCATTTTTTCTCGAGGGTGGCCCCAGCTAACAGACAAATAAGCAGACTGACACGAGAACAAGAAAGGGCAAGGGTTTTCTCATCGTCAGCCCAGCAGTTTGACAGAATTTGAAAACTAAAAAAAAAAAAAAAAAAAAAAAAAAGAGACCCCGTAATGGCACGTAAGCAATATTCATTTACCTAGTTCATGTCACTCGAAACATTCATAATGTAAATCTTTTTCGCAAGTCTATCACTTTTGTGCCAGAGAGAAGTACCTGCTGGGAGCAGCAGTGAAGACTGGTGGTTATGAACAAGGTCTAAGGTTTGATCTCTTTTCTCATCACCAGCTAGCTTTGTGGCAGTAGGGGAGTTGTCTTTCTCTCTGGGACCCTGCCCACCTTTGAAATGGGGAGTTGGGTGCCACGTCCGAGAGGGCAGCACGGGAGAATGAGAGGCGATCACTTGGCACATGCTTGGCTCATGATTTGCACTCAGAACTCGTCCCTGTTACTGTACGCCAGACACGGAGTCTTCTGCGGGTTGATCCCCAGAGCTTCTGGTAGGTTCAGCCCAGGTATACCACCCTCAATGTCAGCTCCCCACCAGCCTCACCGAGATCTCTAACAGGAGCCTTGTGAAAGACATGCTTTGAGAATTAAATTTCACCCACATTAATTTCAAAAATCTTTTTCTGCTTCTGAAAGATTCATATGGGTTACTTCTGCTCAGCCAATCTCAGGTCACATCATCAACTTTTTATTCACTTATTCACCTACTTAACAAATGTTTATTGAGAACCTGCTATATATAAAGTACTGTATATAGGATATAGGGAATACGAATGTGACCATGGATAATACCTAAGTATCCAAAAGTATTACCTTGCTCTCCAGCACCTTAAAATTTAATTGATGATACACTTTTTTCAGTATAGCAAATATGCATGGAGCTCCTAGTATGTGCCAAATTGTGAAGAGCTTTGAGTGTCAGACTGAGAAGCTTTAACTTAGTCTTCTTGCAGGCAATGACTGGAGAGCACTGGAAGATTTGTGAGCAAGTGAATATCATAGTCAAGGTCATGCCTACAACGATGCATTTGGTGGTGGTGCCTAGAAAGGATAAAGGAAGGGAGCCTGCAGGTGGGAGAGATAAGGATGTTACTGTGGTATTCCACATGGATTTAATAGATATATATTTATTTATATATTATAAATATAATTATATTTATATAAAATATGTAAAATATAAATATAATTATATTTATATAAAATATATTATAAATATTATATATATATATTAAATAGGGCTTCTCTTTAGGGTTTAGATACCTGGAGTCATATTCTGTGGCAGGAAACATTTTTCCTGGTCTTCAGATGAGGCTATAAACTCACTCGATATGGCTGGATCCTTAGAAGGAGTTTCTTTACCTGGAAGAGATCGAATATAACATCATGTGTGTGAGTGTAAGCAAGTTATGAGCATGGACTGTAAGTCTTTGTCGAGTGACAATTTTTTCCCCAGGGCTGGTGGCCTGGAAGAATTCTCACTGCTTTCACCATTGTCTTATAATTATTTAGTACTCACCTGTTATCAAAGCCCTGTCACACATGCCATCTCAATCTTGCAGTACCCTGAGGACCCCTGTTTTATTCAAAGTAAATAAATAAAACAGATTCCTGCCCACGGGTCAGACTGGGTCCCATGGCTGACTTTACTGATGTATGTAGAGCCTACAAGGTCATTACAGATCTGACTGCAGCAAGGTTTAAGGTCAATGGGTGGATAACAGAAACGCTAGAGCAGTGTAAGGCAGAGTTGTATCATTAGGAGGATGGCTGACGCATGCATGGTTGAAATGGACCTGAAATGTCTGATGGTCCCCAGGCTGTCTGCTACTAGAGTCATGTACGAGATCTCCAAAATGCTCCTGTCTTTGCAGCCATAGAATTGGAGTGAAAAGGAGAAGAAAGAAGATCATGGCATAGGCTAGGGTTAGGGGAGGAGGCTATTTTGATGACAGAGTTGAAAGAAGAGAGTAGAGCTATAAAGCAATGGATATAAAAGAATAGAAGGAAATTTCACAAGTATCACTATGAAATGTGGGTCTCCTTCATGGTCTCCCCCAAATACAAGAGAACTCATTAACACATTACTTTTGTGCTTACTCTGTTCCTTTGATCATGAAACTGCTCGTGGACTATACCATGGGATCAGAATGTTATCAGCACAACCTCCTCCTGGAAAGAGGGATGAGGAATCTTGGCTCAACCACTATTTGTGAGTCCCTCACTTAATTCTCCCAGTTTCTTCAGCTGTAAAATTGTGCTAGGTCAGACGCAAGCCGACCCACCAGTTTCCCATTCTGGACCCGTTCTTCTACTGATACAGCCCAAGAGGGATAAGGGACCAGCAATTACACGCCATCCACTCACTGTTGATGAGTACCGAACCCAGATCCTCCCATTGATGTCAGGAATCATTGCCTCGACTCCATGCCTTTGCAGTGAGATTTTGAGACCCAAGTGGAGGACCTTCTATTTCTTCATAGCAGGAGCAGTTAGCGCATTTGGGGGTGATGTGTAGGGAGAATGAAATGGATTTGGGTTTGAATAGGCAGAAGGAGGGGTTCACCAGCTCACAGCTCCTCATCCAGTCCATCCTGTTAGACCTTCAGTGCTGAAAGCAGCTTAGCTGGAAGGCTGGCAGTAATGAGCTATAGTTGAGCAGGATCATTTTGTAGCTCTGCCCCCAGGAACTAAAGGTAAGTGTAGCAAAAAGCCACTGGCTTGGAAATCATGAGATAAGAAGTTGAACACAAATCAGATTCTCCCACACATTAGTTAATGACCTTGGGCAAGACATGCCATCCATCCATTTTCTGAGGTTTCACTTTCCCACTCATAAATGACAGACTGATCTAAGTTAGAGTTTCTCAACTCTGACTGCCTACCTGAATCACTCACATTGCTTTTTAAAAATAGCAGTGCCTTGGCCACATCTCCCAGAGATGCTGAATTACGTGCTTCATAGTGCAGCCCAGCCACAGAAATTCTTGTAAGTTTTCCAAATGATTCTAATTTGTCCCAGTGTTGGGAACCATACATCTAGATCTGGTGCTGTAATGTGTGTATGAATTACTTGGGGATATTGATACAATTTAGATTCTGCCTCCATAGGTTGAAAGCCTAAGCTTCTGTCTGTCTAATGTGCTCTCACGTGGAGCTCCTGGGGGTCCTAGGATAACACTTGGAGTGGCGGCCTGCTTCCCTACTCTGAGACAGTTTGAAAAGTGATAGAATAGAGGCCAGAGGCCATGACAAACCCACAAGCATCTTTTTTTTCTTTCTTTCTTCTTTTTTGTGACTCTTCTCTTTCCTTTTCCTCCCTTCCTACCCCCGGCACAGAATTTTTAAAGTTCAAATTTGAATTCCTTGACATCATTTAGAAACTGGGATATTCTACACCGCCTAGATGCTCAGCTTGGCTTTGAAGCTTGGAAGATCTATAACTCAGGGCCCTCATTCTCAGGTGGCAGAAGTTAGCTGGAGCCAAGTGATGACTGCCCCTCTAAGGCAATTTGTTATTTTCTGGCCACCACACTGTCAACATTACTCACTTACATCTGGCTCCAGCAAGCTTTGAGAGTATATCCTTATTGTAAGACTGCATGAACAGAAACAACAGCCTAAGGATGATGAGTGTCCATGAGGTACGCCCGTCTTGAAGGAGGATGTTCATGGCCACCATTTTGCATTTCTATCAGCAATGTGAGAGAGTTCCAGTTGTTCCATGCCCTCACCAACACTTGATATTATCATTCTTTTTAATTTTAGCCATTCCACAGGTGTGCAGTGTTATCTCATTGTTTCAATTTACACCTCCTTAATAACTAATGATGGTGAACATTTTGTTAATTTTTTTATGTTTATTTATTTTTGAGAGAGAAAGTCACAGAACACAAGTGGGGAAGGGGCAGAGAGAGACGTAGACACAGTATCTGAAGCAGGCTCCAGGTTCTGAGCCATTAGCACAGACCCCAATGCAGGGCTCGAACCCACAAACTGGGAGATCATGACCTGAGCCAAAGTCAGACACTTAACTGACTGAGCCACCCAGGCTCCCCTGATGTTGAACATTTTTATGTGCTTATCTTCCATCCATATTTTCTGAATGAAAGTGTCTTTATAAACTTTTTGCTTCATTTAATTGGGTTATTGACCTTCTCATGACTGAGTTATAATAAGATTTTTTTTATGTTCTAGATGCAAGTATCAGATATGTGGTTTTCAAATATTATCTCCGAGTCTGCGGCTTCCTCTTCACTTTCTTGTTAGGTTTATTGGGGTGGTGGGGAGCAAAACTATTAGCAAAGAGATCAGCAGGAAAAGGGGAAATGAGCTTTGCATACACATGAGAGAGCAGAAACCAGCCTGTACACACCAGAGCGGTCAGTGATCATGGGACTAAAATTGACAAATATGGTAAAGTCAGGAGAGGGAGAGAAACATAGAGTAGAGACAGCAAGCAATAGGGAGCCATGAAGTATTCTTGAGCATGGGGATGGCAAAATAAAAATGGAAATTTTACCTAGCACAAGAAGGACAGGAAGAAGAAACGACAAAAGGGGGGGGGATGCCAGCTAAAAAGCTGAATTGCAATATGGGGGTATAAAGCATGAGACTATGGACTGTGGTCTTGGCAAATGAGAAGCGAGAGAGTATAGTGAATAACGTGGTATTTTAAAGTAAGAAAAGAGAAAGCATTTTGACGAATTGAATATGAAGGGTAAAAATCAGGAAAAAACAGTAATTGTAGAAAATAAATAGATAGGGGGATAAGAGATCATTTAGTGCTACTCCTCATTTTACTGTGGAGAAACTCAGGCTCAAAGAGGAGAAGTGATTTTTACCAAGGTCACATAGCAAGTTAGCAGCAGAGTGAGAAGCCATCCAGATCATCGGTGGGGGGGGGGGGGGGGGGGGGGGGGGGAGTGTAGGGCGGAGGGCAGAACTCACTACCACCACTACATTAACCCGACCTCAGAACTCAGGGCTCTGAAGTTTCTAATCTGGAAATATCTCACTTCCAGAAACTTGCTGGACAAGAGCACTTGCTCTTATATCTTCCTTCCCATCTCCCCTTGCTCCTAACCACCACCCCAACTTTAAGAAGTAAGTATTGCCTTTCAGGCTTCTCCCCTACCCCCCAGCTACACATTTTTTCCTTCTTTGACCTGACAGTCATACCACCAGCAGTGTTTATGATGTAAATCTACACTGTCTTTGTTGGGGGCAAAAATCAAATTAGAACTACAGCTACATCAATCTGCATGGACATTATCTCCAATCGTAATGTTGAAGAAGAGGGAAGAAAGAAGTTGCATGACGCTATCATTTTGTTTAAGTATCAAAATCTGCAGAAGAAATTCTTTGCAATGATTATGAGTACATGAACATGTAATAAAAGCACAAAACCAGTGAATTCATGGAAGTGGTTAACTTCAGGGAGAGAGAGATGGAGGGAAATGAGACAGAGGAGAACTACCAGGAGACACTACTTGTATCTGCAACATTTTTTTTAAGTAAAAGAATGAAATAAAGATATTTGGAGGCTGGTATGGTATAATGTCAAAATGTGCTAAAGCTAGATGGTTGGTTTATTGTTCTGATTTTCTCTATTATGAGTAAGTTCAAAATGCCTTTCTAAAGTTCAAATATGAAGCATCATTTACTATTGTCAGCCTTCTCCCTCAATTCCCTATTATTATACTCATGATTCACATCTACCAAAAATGTTGAAAGTTAAGAACACCAATGATCAGTGTAGGAAAAATTTCTCTCTCGCATCCTCCGTTTAAGAGTGTAAGTCTGCCAGATTTCTTAAGGACTGTGTTGAAGATGAGGGGGCAGTGCTAGAAGCTTTTTGATTAATGAACTTTGACCTGACTTGCTCCGTGATCCTAAGGGAGCAACTATAATTTATTAAACAGTGGCAAGAATATCCAAGGGCCCAGGAAGTCAGACATGACTGCAATTGACCAGAACCAGCACCTCTCACCATGTGCGATCGGGAGATTTATGTGAGTAAATGACAGACATCACAGGGAACAGATGCTTCGGGCAGAGTCCATGTGTGGGAATACAGCTCACCTGGGATTGCCAGAGCCAGCATTCATCACTGTGTGACACCCCAGCAAACTAGTGAGGCATCTGTCCAGGGCTCAGTGCTACCAAGAGCCTTCTCCTTTCCTGCCTCTCTTACCCCTGAGGACTGTTGGCCCTTGCTATTTACACCTCCTTAAACAGCTGTAATGGTGGAAACAGCCAGAAACAAGGGCACAATAGAGCCAGGAATTAGGGACAAGGGTTGTGGGAATAGTCTTCACTTGTGAATGAGAAAATAGGCCATAGTTACTGAGGGATTATCAGAATCCAGCCTCTGCACTAAACCCATGAGATGAGTTCCTGATTTAATCCTCACCCAAAATTCCATGTGATAGATAGTACCATTAGATCCAGTTTACAGACAGGAAACTAAAGTTTGAAGAATACAAGAGACTTGCCCAAAGTCACAGAACTACAGAGTCGCTCCAGGATATGTGGCATTCTTTGTTCCATTTCTCTAGGATAAATGCAGGGGGAGGCTAAAAGGGGATGTTTATATCTACAGTCCTCAGACTTATAACACCCATATCCTCCTCCCTAGGGAAAGTCCCTGACAAGCACAGAAAATGGCATGAAGAGCCTCAATAAAGTAAACAGCAGGTTGACTCTTGGTGAAAGAGTGCAAGCAGGATCCCAACCACTTATCGATGCTCCAAATCAGGTGAAACAATAAAATAATGGCCCGTAATGTCATAAGGATTCTGAGGATGCTTTCTTCAGTGTCAGTTGATTGGTTGGTTGGTTGGTTGGTTGGTTGGTTGGTTGGTTGGTTTCGAGCCACAGAACACTTGGACCTGAAATCTTGGGCTAAGGACAGGGTGTCAGACAGAGCTGAGCTGCTCCAGCTGAAGCTAAGGGTCAGAGAGCAGAGCAGAGCTCCCAAAGGCCCCTTTGCAGGCCAAGCCTACAACACCTCATCTCAGAGATGAGCAAACAAAGGCCTTGAGACAGAGCTTGACATGTTAGTGTCATAGAAATGTAATTAACATGTGCTTAATTTCTTGTGCTTAATTAACGGTGCACCAGGTCATTTTAGGTGTTTCCCATGTAGACTCAATCCCTACCACAGCTCTATGGGGAATGCATCATTATATCATAAATCTATAGATAAGGAAACTGAAATTGAGGGGTTAAATAAGTTGCTAAGGCAAGTCAAAGAACCAAGATCAACCCCAGATGCTATGGCCTCAAAGACCAGCCTCCCCAGTTGAAGGTAGGCTGAATCAGATCATCATCACCGGTTTACGGGCCAGGGATCCTTCATGTGCCCCCACACTCCATCTACTGTCTGCTCCCATGGGGTACAATGGACTTAGAAAAAGGGTCTGGACAGTTTATAAACCTTAGAAGTCTGGAGAAACAAAATATTTCCACAGCTAAAGATAATGTCTTTTGTGCTAAGGGCATCATGTGGGGATTTGTTTGCCGTGGCTAGGGGTCCTCCTGGGCTCCCTTTCAAGGACTCATGTGATACTTCTGGAAGACATGGAATCCTAACAAGGGTTCGGAATGATTCCTCAGCAAGGCACTCCCTTATCTCCCACGTGAGTCCTCCCTGACTCTGCCATCTTCCCTCAGAGCTGCCACACATCCTGACAAACACCGTACTCGAGATGGCAGGGCCCCACCTTGGTCTTGCTCTGAAAAGAAGCAAGAAGCTGGCATTAGGTGACTTAGCCACCCTGATTGTCTGGGATTGTCCTGGTTTTAGCACTGACTGCATCCTGAGAACGCCCATGGACCCAGGCAAACTGGAATGGCCAGTCACCTAATGTCAAGTCTCAGATGACTTGACAATTTCTCAGGGCAACAACTCTCTGTGGCCTCAAGTTGATGTACAAAAAAAAAAAAAAAAAAATCAGGGGCGCCCAGGTGACTTGGTCGGTTAAGCATATGATTCTTGATTTCTGTTCAGACCATGAACTCGAGTTTGTGAATTCGAGCCCTACATCGGCCTCTGCCATGACAATGAGGTGCCTGCTTTTCCAAGCAAGAATTCCTCTCGCTCTCTCTCTGCCCCTCTCCCAGGTCTCTCTCTCTAAGTAAATAAATAAACTTTAAAAAAATCACGCCATGATAGGTAGGAGGCAGGAAATTGCCTGTTTTTCTCGAGTAACAGCAACCCTGAAGAAAATAGGGTTGTGTGACCGAGGCCAGATTTATGACCACGCATGGGCCCCCGAGGCTCACTGCCTGAGGTTTCTTCCTGACCCAGGGAATCCTGGGAAGAAAGGACGGAAGGGTTGGTCACACCCTGCAAGCAGCAGCCAGGAGCAACACTGGCTCCCCACAGAGTGAGCTCAAAGCCTCTCTCTCCAGGAATAGTAGAAGCTCCCCGGGGTCAACCCCCTTCTCACAAAGCCAGAACGACAAATACGGAATGAGGGACGGGAGCAGAGGGAGCCGGAAAGCACAGCCCATGTCCCCATCTTTGGAAGAGCAGCTTCCTCAACCCAGCGGATCCCTGCGTCTTCACTACACCAACCGCCTCAGCCAAGCCACAGGCCAGCCCCCGCCCCCCCCCCTCCCGCCCCAGGAGACTCACCTGGGCCCCAGGACAGACTCGGCTCCCCGGGAATGCAGAAGCAGCCACCCATGTGTGCATCATCCTCCCCAGGCCAAGGCCTCTGGGAACACCAGGCAGAGGAGCTGGGAGGGGACGGCCTCCCAATGGTGTCCCTCCTCCCGCCTCCTCCCTGGCACACGAAGGACCAAACCCAGCCTCAATGCACAATGCACCCTTTGATATCCAGCTGCAGGGGGAGGCCCAGGGAGGCTGGGAGGGGCAGCCCAGCCCTCAGCACCCATAGTCCTCTCTCTGTCAGGCCTTCAGCTGGGGAGCAGAGCTCCTCCCTGCCGCTCCGCAGACTGCTCCGTGCCTAGCAGGCTGTGGCACATTCCTCACATTCTAGGATTGAGATATACAGCTCGGTTCCCGCGGGGGTGGCCGGGGCGGGGGAGGAGGGCAGAGAGCATCCCAGGAATCAAGGAACCAAGTTCTGGTTTGCCCCCTGACTGACTCGGCCCTCCCTGACTTGCCTGCCAATGAGAAAGTGAGCCCCTGCCTGCCTCTCCCTGCAAACACCTCCCTGAGCTATCTGGGTGACACGGGAGCTGTGGGCACAGCATCTCACCCCAGCCCTGGGTGGCATCAGTGAGCCAACCCCGGCACGGGCTCGTGTGCAGAGCCCCAGCCCCTGCTCCTGAAGTTTGGGTCAGGAGGAATCTGGGAAATCCACCCAACAGAGCCCAGCATCTTACACAGGAGAGGCCAGAGGACCAGGTACGGCAAGGTTTCAGGGATGCACACAAACCTGGTCACACCAGACCAGCCTCCTTTCTACTTCGGAAAGCAGAGCTTTGCAGTTGATACAATACAGAAAATTTTCCATGACATCTTCCCAAGGAGGCAGAAAAAGATATGGTTGAATGTCAACAAGATCGGACAGAGGCACGACTGACCTAACAACCAAGCCCAAGGATCACTGATTACTTATTATTTTCTTAATGCCTCGAACAAAGTTCAGTGGGGAGTGAGCATAAGAGGGAGGAGGTGCGGCCGAGAGGAGGCAGAGTCCTAGCCTCTGGCACGCAGGCTACGGGCAGGCTGAACCGGATGTCAGTCCCACAAGCATGTCAAGGAGGGATGTGGCCTGGCCCTGTTTATATTCTGGGAGGGGCACTGCAGTGACAGTGAGCAGGCTAGCCCAGGGGTCAGCCTCACCGGTGTGGTCACGGGTCTCTACCACACACAACAGCTGAGATCCAGGTGGCAGGGTCGGGCTTCGGTTTCAATGCTGACTCACCCTGACTCACAGTCAGTGGCTGTTTGCCGCGGGCCAGCCACTCACCATACATTACTTCATTTAAATCCCGTAACAGCCCGCAATGTAAGCCCTACAGCTCTATTCTGTACCTTCAGAAACTCATAAAAAGGAGTGGGTAACTTGCCCACAGCCTCACCATCTATGAATGTCAAGTTCAGGACCAGAGCCAGATCGAATTGATTCCACAGCTAAAGAGCTTCGTTTTTCCAGTATACGAGCTCCTTCCACGACTAGAGTGAAAAAATAATTAGATGATCTGATAGTGAACCCTCAGAGCTCGCTGACTACTATAAAAGGGCAAGAGAAGAGGGCTAGCGTGGGGTCAGGGAGGTCAGAGGGACAGGGTCTCTCTGATCACAGTGCTACCATAGGGTACAGCCTCTCTGTGCCATCTGTGTAAAGTGTGCATTTCCCATAATGTCCCATGCCTTTGCCTTCATCAAAGCAGAGTTTTGGGGATTCAGCAGTGTTTTACTGTTTAGCAGCATTTTCTTGGGCCTAATAGAAAAGAGCAAGAGTTTCTTTAGAAAGTTGTCACTTAAACTTTGGGAGGTACATGAGAATCAGACAGTGAAGGGAAACCATGGTTGAACTTGAACATGAAGACAAACGCTCTGACTTATCATTTATTTTTCTAATTGTTTTAACCTTTATTCATTTTTGAGAGACAGAGCATGAGTGAGGGAGGGGCAGAGAGAGAAGGAGACACAGAATCCGAAGCAAGCTCCAGGCTCTGAGCTGTCTGCACAGGGCCCGATGCAGGCCTCGAACTCATGAGCCATGAGATCATGACCTGAGCTGAAGTCGGACGCTTAACCGACTGAGCCACCCAGGCGCCCCCAGACTTGCCATTTCTCCTTGACTCGCCTACATGCCATTCTTACACAGGTGCAGCAACAGTGATTGAAAATTATAAACGACCAAGACCAACCAAAGGAAGCCCGTCTGTCCCAGATGACACCCTGTGGCTGTTAGCAGAGATGCAAATTTTGGCACATCCATTCTGGAAAAAGTCATCACTTCTTTTGAGATGCAAGACACTAGTGCTATTCTGCATATTGGTAACTCCAATGAATTAACCTGAACGAAGGGCTTTCCGGACAGAGAAAGCAGCATGTGCAAAGGCCCTGAGGCTGGGGCATGGGTGGCAAGTGAAAGGAAAAGTAGGTGTGCTTGGAGTCCATGAGGCAGGGCATAGGGATGAGGTTAGAGAAAACAGCCGGAGGCCAAACCGCATAGGACCTTGAAGGCCATGGAAAGACTTAAGCTTCTCCTGTGAGGGAGGTGGGAGACAATAGAGGATACTAAGTCAAGGAGTCTCATGATGGACTTATGCTTTTAAAGGCTCACCCTGGCTGCTCCTTGAGAAACAGGCTAGAGCTGGGATTCCAGGTACACAGCAATTGTAACATCCAAGATAGAGAAAACAATGGCTTGAGCCAGAGTGACAGCAGTGGAGATGGTAAGAGGAGCTTAGGTATTAGACACGTATTTCTGAATGATGAGTATATTCACCGAGGGTCCCCAGAGAAGCAGAATCAATAAGGTATAAATATATCTGTGGTGCAAGAAAGGGCACTGCCCATTGAAGAGGCCCCTGTGAGGCTCTAGGCAATGAGGGATAGGGTGCCATGTTCTTCTAGTGTGGGGCCAGATGTTCTGATTTGTCATGGAAACCGGACATCAAGATGTTCATGTGAAGTTCCCAAACTTTTTAATGGTCACAAACTAGGCTCGCTGCAGCAGCCCATATACTAAAATTGGAAGGCTACAGACATCAGCATGGCCCTTGTGCAAGGATGACACGCCAAATTGTGTGTTTTGAGTCTTGCACGGGATGGGTGAATCATTACGTTGTTCACTGGAAACAAACAAAATGCTGGAAGTATTTAAAAATTAATGTTCACAGCCCAAGTCAGAAAATCTTCCAAAGCACTGTATAGGCCGGTACTTCAGAGCAGACGAACATGGCCACAAGCCAAGTGCATCCAGAAATGCTGGGATTTGCCAGCAAACCTCTGGAAGCAAGGAGCAATTCTTTCTGCAGGTTTCAGAGGGGCAGAGGCATGCAGGCCCCTCGATTTGAGACTTCCAGCCCCGTGAACGGTGAGAGAATATATTTATGTAGCTTTCAGCCACCAGTTTGGGCAGTTTGTTAGGACAGGCTCCACTCCGATGTGCTGTGCCTCTTAGAGGTCAGTTTGGGCATTAGATTTGTGGTCAGAAGACCGGCGTTCAAATCCTGGCTCTGCCACGTTCAAGTCATATATTGTTTGGCATAGTCCCTCCTTTGTAAGTAACAGTGATAGTCATAGTTACATAGAGATCACCAGAAAGTTCTCTCACAGAACGGTTGTGAGGGCTTTAAAAGGTGTTTATAGGTGTTGGTTGTTTACTTGTGCAAATGTTGCACGTGCATGTGTGTGTGCGTGTGATAACTGTTACACTAGTGTTCAGCATGTTTTCCACGTATCCAGACTCTGAGGAAGAAGGGGCATTGCTGGTGAGTAGAGTGTGTCTATCAGCCAGGATAGAGACAAAATCTCAGTTTCAGTCAGAAAGTCCACAAGGAGGGGCTCCTGGGTGGCTGTCGGTGAAGCGTCCGACTTTGGTTCAGGTCATGATCTCACGGTCCGTGGGTTCAAGCCTCACATCGGGCTCTGTGCTGACAGCTCCGAGCCTGGAGCCTGTTTCAGATTCTGTGTCTCCCTCTCTCTCTGCCCCTCCCCCATTCACGCTCTGTTTCTCTCTATCTCAATAATAAATAAACATAAAAAATTTTTTTTAAAAGTCTACAAGGACATGCATCCAAGTAAAACCAGCTCTTGCTGTCTTCAGATCATCAGGAAGATTCCTTTCATTGCCTCAGACAAAGGCACCTAGCTCAGTGACCCTAGCTGTATTTCTCTCCTTACTCCTCGACTCACCGACATTTTTGATAGAGACGAATTTTGCAAGCGGTTTACTTAAGAAAGAAAAATGAAATCCCATGGTTAACCACTTTCATCATTAGTATATTTAGCTTTTGTGATCTAGGGAATCTGTTGCAAGTGAAAGGAGGGGTGCCTGGGCGACTCAGCTGGTTAAGCATCCAACTCTTGATTTTGACTTAGGGCATGATTTCACAGTCGTGAGATCAAGCCCCGAGTCAGGCTCCAAGCTGAGCATGGAGCTTGCCTGAGATTCTCTCTCCTTCTCTCTCTGCCCCTCCCCTGCTTGTGCTTGAGCACAGGCACATGTATACATGCGCGCGCTCTCTCTCAAGAAAAAAATTTAAATTAAAAAAAATGCGTCTCTCTTTTCTAGGTGTTTTATTTTGGGTTTTTTTTATTTTTGTTTTACAGAGAGAGCGTGCATGCATGAGCAGAGGAGAGGCAGAGAGAGAGAGAGAATCCCAGGCAGGCTCCATGCTGTCAGCGTAGAGCCCAATGCAGGGCTTGATCCCACAAATGGTGAGATCATGACCTGAGCTGAAATCAAGAGCCAGACTCTTAACGGACTGAGCCACCCAGGTGCCCCATCTAGGTGTTTTCATTGATAAATTTCACTGGGCAACCTTGGAAAAGTCAGCCATTCTCCCTTCGGTGCTTTCCTTGCATTCCTTATATAATGTTGCTTGGCGTCCCCACCAATTTGGGTCTTGTTCCGGTGATGACTTTGTTCAAGTTCCTCTGGAAGTGGCATCCCCGGATCTCCATCCAGCTGTCCAGGATAGCTGCATATACTGTACACAGCTCTGAGGCACTGCCCCCTCCTTTGTTTCATGAATT